TTTTTGCATCGGACTCCAAACTTTAGTTATTAGTAAGATTGTATATAATTTGTAGAAAAAGGTGATAACTGATGCATGATGTGGATTCTTTGAGCTAGAATGTTACAAGACAAAAAAACCAATTATAGAAGCGAAGACTACCTTGGAAGAACAGCTGGGATCTGAATGTAGCAGGCAAATCAGGAGGTAGCAAAGATTTTTTATGTATACTCGAATGATTGATACATATTCCTTTCCTGGCCAACTTATTTCACATGGTTTTCTATTTGAATTTCGTAGGCTTTTTGTTGCTTGCCCCCCATCAATCAGTGGGGTAGTGGAGAATAAAAACAGCAAAAAAAACAAAATGAATAATAACAAATGAATGCCACAATGCGCATATCATTGTTGGCACTGGCAATAAACTTAGCCGACATCTCGATTGGAAGCGTCAGAAAAGAAGAAACTTTGTTATGTCTTTTCACACTTTGACAGGACATCGCTTAACAACGCATACCAAAAGCATAGGAGAGTATAAAAAACCAATCAATTCAATTCATTTCAGAAAATTATAATTAACAATAATCCAGAATGAAAATTTTATTAATTTTTTTGGGCTTAATTTAACTTTATATGTATCATTTAACTGGCTTTAAGTAGTATAATGACATCAAGTCCTTCCCTAATCACTTTTAGACAGATCGACCATCCACAACTGATGTGTATTCATGAGAAACTTTTCTTTCTTTCTTTCTTTTTTTTCCCAGATTTTATGAACTCTAACCCAGAAGGATAGCCTGATTAATTTACTAATTAATTTAGTTTTAAATTAATTAGGTTAATTTTAATTAATTTGTTTATTTCTAATTTTTTTATATTATAGTTTATTAATTATTTGTTATTTAATATTTAATTAAGCGTGAATTAGGATTAATTTAATTATTTTATTGATGATTGTTGAATTGTGCCAATGTATGTACATTGTATCGTATCAAATCCGAGGACTAGATACTCTCGAGAATTGGGAAGAAATAAGATTGGTTCGATGTTCTACATTTGAGATGAGAGAATGGGTTTGAAATTTAATTTCAATAGAGTCTAGGCAGTGTGTCGGTCTCGGTGTACATAAATTGATTGTTGATTGATTTAATTTCAATATTTATGTGATCATTTAGATTATCTTTAATTGAAAAAGATGCAATTTACGGGAAAGGCTGGATTGAATTTCTTTTTTATTAAAAAAATTTATAATATATTTTCGAGTCGAATTATTATTCATTTGTTATATTTTTTAAACTGTTTCAGGTATTATTCTAGAGTTATGTCACGTGGATTGGGAGGTCTGGTTACAGTGGTATTGGTAGTGGCTCTGTTGGCAATAGTGTCCAAGGTCATAGCATTGATACTGATAGTATCCGTGATCATGCCACTTTTAGTGGTGTTGTACGAGGATGTGACATTGCTAGTGCTAGTGTCCGAGGTCATAGACTTGATAATGACACTAGAATATCTGCATCTCTGCCAGTAATGCCCCCGTTGGTAGTACCTCTAGTTGTAGATGTTCCCATGACTATTTCCTCAACTCTATGAAATTCTACTAGATCCGATACTAGACGAACCATTCGGGTTGTGAATAATTGATAATATATATATATATATATATATATATATAGTAATTAGTTTTATCTTTTCATATATTATAATAAAATTATTGATTGACTTATTTGTTTTGTTCGACGACTTGATTCCATCAAGTAAGTGCTTTACAAAAATTACTCGTAATATTACGAGAGCAATTGGATGTAACCGACTCCATATGGAAGTCTCGTCTTCATAGAGACAAAGGGCTTATATTTTAATGAGTTTATGGTAACATATTAGTTATTTGTTTATATTTTATTTAAATTATCAATTTAACATTAAATGTACTAATATTATTTTTTTTCTCAATGTACAAGTATTTTTTATGGGATACTGGTCATCGATACTTTTATTAAGGATGCATAGGAGAGTCCGACATGAAGGCGATACGATGACATGCTTAACAAATCGAAGCATAAGACTAACGTGACTCGTGTACGTTAAGTAACAAGGGTGGGAAGCATGCATCGAGATTGGACCACACTTGAGTTTCAAGCTCGATCTTAACGAGCATCCCGAAGCCATATGTCGGAGATGAGTGGTGTCGTCGTCGCTTCATCCAAGCATACAATAGGGTCTATCTCTTTGATTAACCATACTAAGCGTTTGGTAAATTCTATTATCCATTGTAGTATAAATTATTTTTTACATTTATTACTTCTCATAATATTTTATCTATTTTTTCAGCAGAATAAATTGGGTCGTAACTCAAATCCTTATGAGTTGTTCATGATTTCTCATAAAATAAAATGATGGGTCATTCATCAACAAGTGGTTCCAAACCATAATGATAAATTTTGTTATATATATATATATATATATATATATATATATATATATATATAAGTTGAAAAATATATTTATGATTTAATATTATAATTATTTTAATGATGCGAAGTGCTTGTAGTCAATCCAAGAAATAACTGCTAAGAAGTAGCAAGAGGGTGATTCATTATCTCTAAATATTGATGTGATCAAGATACATTTGGATGTTGTAGAAGGAGAGAAGAAGTAAAGAGAGTACGATCTTGGATCACGAGCGTCTTAGTTTTATTTTCATTTTGATGTCAACTCTTTCTCTACCACTTCGTGGTATCCCGGTTCTAATATTTAAGAGATTTCTATTCAATACGAAGATAAGATCAAGGGGATGAAGATTACAATTCAAGAATAGGCCAATCAATTCAAAAATCTACAAAATTAGATGTAGATAGTGATGAGATTGTTACGGGACCTATAGCAAACTTGCATCCCCGCTGCCGACCCCTCCATAATCCAAGAGTCAACCATTCCTCCCAATACCCAACAATCGAAAGATGATGATGCAAGATATGATGAAGACTAGATTTTTTTTATAGGTTGTTAATATTTTTACACCTTAACGCATTTATATATTTATTTAATTTCAATTTATATTATCTTTTTTTTTAATAAGGTGTTATTTTTAGTTGTTTGATAAAACCATTAACATTAAATGATTATATATATATATATATATATATATATATATATATATATATATATATATATATTCTTTGTTTAGCTATCGATTTAACGACAAAAGCTAAATCTCTTTGCAACAAAAACATATACGATTGCCAAGTAATGACGGATTTAGCGATAGATTTATGAGAAATTTTAATGAATATGATTTAGTGACAAAAAATAACCAATCAGCGATGGTTTTGTGACAAATAATGGGCCAAAGAGACGATTGTTTACTTCACTTTAGCGATGGTTTTGCGATAAATAATGGACCAAAGAGACGATTGTTTACTTCACTTTAGCAATGAAATTTCTACATATTAGCGATGAAAAAAAATTATATCGTTAAGAAAGTAACGACGATCACATTTACTACTGAAAGTATATTATCGCAAATCCATCGTTAAGACTAAATAACGACGAATATTGATGATATAGTGACAGAAAAATTCATTGTTATTTTTCAATTTTCTTATAGTGTATGTTTGAGTTTTTATAGTGACATATGAAGTTGCATAATTCTAGTATTTAAGAAAGACTTCAAATTGTGTTGTAAAGTAAACCAAATACTAGAGAAAGTACAATGAACAATTAAATAAAATATCTCAGGAGACAATGAGGCGAGTACTCATTAGCAGTTGATTTTGCCGAATCCAGACCAAAAAAACCGTACTTGGTTGCGAAAGAGGGGCATCATCACCTAGATGATGAGATGGTAGACATGACATGGATCCATCAATGAAGCCGAATAACTCTTGATCTTGCAAAGAGAGTTTGATTTGAAATTTTCAATACAAATAATTTGTTGCATTGAATTTCGACAAGATATAACTGTTGGCATTAGCAAGAGGAATGGTGTGAGCAGGGAAAAAAGAGAGAGATTGTTGCTTCAAAATTGGCATAAGGGCTGTTGCCGAAACAATAGCTGTTAGGGAAGACTATGTTGAAATAGTGGAAGTGGTTGTTAGGGAGGATTATGTTGTCTGTTACTGAAGTGCTATTGCCATGAGAATATGTCTATCTAGTGATGTTGATACAATAGGGTTTGAGGTATTGAATTGATCGACTTCCATGAGACAATTACGCAATTACTCTGATATCAAATTAAGAGAAATAAACAAAAAATCTATATATAAAAATACTCTTACGACTGCACATTCTTTAGAGTGATATTTTATTATATTTATATGTAAGGTTTTGTCAATATAGAAAAAATCTTAGTGTTTTATAATATCTGCAACAATGTAAAAAATTACAATATACAATATAAGAAAATAATTATGACTATAATAGGGGGAAATACTTATGATTTAATAGAAGACTAATCTAAAAATTAGGTAAAAAGCCACCATATAATTGTGCCTGTGCTCCTGTTTCTTTTTATGAAGGACTAAAAATTTTATGTCCTCATTTCAACTGACGTGGAAAAGGTAAATTGAACATAATGATGATTATAAAGATTCAGCGATTCAGGGAATCGTTTTGGTAACATTACTGTTCCATTTCTGTGATGCAGCATACATTGACAGTTTACCACTTATCGTCCTAAATATGAAGAGTAAATAACAACCTAACTAGTAAAAAAAATCATGATAAGGTGGATATATGGCATCCTGATATCACCTAAACAGTGCAAGCAGCTATGGTGAAACTGGATTGTGTAACATTGACAGTGCTAGAAACAAACAAAAGGTCATAGATACATGTGAGAGAAAGAAGAAGTTAAATTAAATAAAGAAACAGACCGGACTTTAGTATATATATATAAGAAAGTAATTGAAGAGGAGGTTGTGGCAGCTAGCCTATTCAAGAAAGATTCAGACCATTGAAAAAAATTTATTTCCCGTTTGAGATCGAGTAACAAGTTATATTTGCTTTCTTTTTAGCCAAAGATCATGAGTGGCAATATAGAGAACAAGGTTGTAATAAGGGAATACAATGAAGACAGAGATATTAAAGTGGTGGGGAAGCTTGAGAGGAAGTGTGAGATAGGGTCTAATAAGGAAGTCTCCATTTTCACCAACATGATGGGCGACCCTTTATCTAGGATTAGGTTCTACCCTGTTCATGTTATGCTGGTGGGTGAACTAGCTAGGGATTCTCTCTTTCCATTACTAATTTTCTCCAAATCAAATTATATGGAATATCTTGTTTACCTATATTGAGATATTGATTATTTGTCTTCCTTCTACTTTTCTCTACACGCAATTAAGGAAACCCTTGTCCCCCATAAGACATATGTTGCTGTAGCTAGCTCACTTGATTGCTGCTACCTAGCTATTCGACCACTAATACACTTGAAAATGGCCTACAGGTTGCCGAGCTGCGTGAAAATAGGGAACTTGTCGGTGTTGTTAAAGGATGCATCAAATGTGTGGGGACTAGATTTGGAAGATCGTATGTGAGGTTGGGCTGCATCCTAGGCCTTCGAGTTTCTCCTAGACATCGGTATCTTTCCTTCTCTCTCTTTCTGTTACTTGAATACATTTGCAATTAACTGTTCTTTTCATGGTTGATTTTCTGAACAAGGAAGCATATCTTGAGCATTTTGAAAAGGCTAATTTGTTGCTAATATCATCGAACAAATTATTTGGCGCAAACATCGCTATCATGTAAAAATATATAGTAAGGTCTACTTGAGTAGTCTACATATCATGATACATAATTTTACCATCTTACTTATTTTGCTCAAATATTTTGGCAAAGATATATATTTCCATCATAAAAAGCTAACATAATATCAGGCTTAAGTAATTGATTATTGTGAATAACAAAGAAGATACTGGTGACTTTTGAGCATCCTCATGCATGGAGATAGGAAGTTTTAAGATTCTCGTTTGCAAAAGGGATCAGCAATATCTATATACAGGAGCAGATTTAATCTAGCTACTTGGCTTCCTTTTTTTGGTTAATGAGGTGATAAGGGCAGAATTTGAAACGAATTTCTACTTTGTCTTTCCTGCTTTGTATGCATGGATAGTACACCTTGAAAATCCATTTGCTTAATGAATATAATAATGATAATCAGAGAATAATCCATCTTCTTTTTCTTTGTTTCTTCCTTACTTGCGTGTTTTTGTATTTAATGTTTATATTTAATAACCAGATGAGATTACGTTTTGAAACATCAGAGACATTTGATGATATATAGAAACTTAATCATATAGTATCTGTTTGTTTGTATCCTAATGTATACACATATACGTTTGCATTTGTTCATCCTAATTAATGTAGGCGAATGGGGATCGGGTTAAAACTTGTCAAGTCAGTTGAAGAATGGCTGATAGGAAATGGAGCACACTATACTTTCCTAGCAACTGAAAAGAGCAACGCGGCCTCAACGAATCTCTTCACTTCCAAGTGCAATTACATCAACTTTAGCTCATTAGTCATATTTGCTCAACCAGCTAGTCTTCCTGTAAAAGGTCTGTCCAATGACATAAAGATAGAGAAGCTACAAATAGACCAAGCCATTTATTTGTACAACAATAAGTTCAAAAGCAAGGACATATATCCAACCGACGTTGATGCCATCTTGAAGGAAAAACTGAGCATTGGTACATGGGTATCTTATTTCAAAGAAGAGGAATGGATTAGTTTGCACAGCAATGAAAGGAATGAAGACATCATCAGTAAAACTCCAAGTTCTTGGGCTATCTTTAGCGTATGGAATTCTTGTGAGGCATACAAGCTTCATATAAGAAAGTCTCACCATCCATTCAAGTTTTTTCATGCAACTTTAAGCCATGCAAGAGATAAGATTTTCCCTTGCCTTAAATTGCCAATCTGTCCCTCACCACAGAAACCATTTGGATTCCTCTTTCTCTACGGCCTTTATGGAGAGGGAGACAGGCTCCAAGATCTCATGAAATCTGTATGGAGCTTTGCATCAAGTTTGGCTGAAAATGTGAAGGACTGCAAAGTTATTATTAGCGAGCTAGGGGTCTCCGATCCTCTAATAGAGCATGTACCCCAAGAGCCCTCCATGTCTTTCATTGATGATCTTTGGTACTTGAAGAAAGTGAATGGCATCACTGATGACAGCGAGGAATCGAAGGTCATGGGGCAAGTAATAGGGAGTGTATTTGTTGATCCAAGAGATTTTTAGTACATTTGTGTAACCTTAATTAACGATCTTAAAACTTGGAGTTGCATTTCTTCTAGCTAGCTAGGTGTGCTAGAGCTTTATTTATGCTGTTGCTAGGATATGTTTTTTTCGTCTGCGTTGAGTTTGATTTTGTCATGCCTATTGCCTAGTGTATACTCTACAAAACGGCATGTGTGCATGCTTGTTAACTGAAGAGAACTCGGTTTATTCAATCTATTGTTTCTAAAATCAGTACCATATTGGAATAATAGAAAATGTAATATGGGAAATTTAACAGTTTTCCTCCAGTTTATAATGCCACTCTCCCAATAATGCCATTATAATTAGTTTTATGGAGAGATGAAATACACTATGAGAATAGCACGTTAATTACATTATCAATTAAGATAATAATGACGTTATCCGCACCCTAAATCAACTCTTAACATTTGTTGTAATTTATTTATTATTGATCCAAAATCTATGCACCTTAACAACATAATAAAAAAAGATAATATTTTTTATTATATAATAATTAAATAAATCACAATCATTAAAACTCAAATCTATTTTATAGATAGAAATTACTGGATATATATATACAAACGTTAGAGCTCATGTTATTGTAATTTTATTTAATGTACTCAATTCACTTACCAATGATCACTATTAATTAATTATGCTTCATGATATGACTTTAGTGTAAGAAATATGACCCGATGTTATGGTACATATTTTTGGAAGCCCATATTAAGTTTGGTTTAAGGTTTTTTTAATTTAATAATATGTTAAATCTGGACTCGTTAATTAGTATTTGATAGACGTACAAGATTCAATGCTAACAGATATATAAACTAGTTCTCTCTTTATCTTAAAAGGTATGCGGACGAATAATATAAAAGAAAATACAAAACGCATGTATTTGGCTATCGATAAAGCCATATGCTATAGAAAATAAAGTTAAGGGAGAGAAACTAATTTATAAGGTTCGTGGTTGTTGAAAGCTTTCTCTACATCATGTTGAATTCCGCTCAAGGTAAGTGATTTATTCGCTTCATTTATGTAATTATTATTATATTTAAGATGCTGAATGGGCATGAATGATTTATATTTTAATCTTTAAACATTCAAGATTCCATGAATGATTTATGTTTTGATCATTGCATGATATAATTTATGGTTTTGATTTTTAAGTATTCAATAAAGAAAATTTTAACATTCAAATCCAATCAAGTTATTGGAGCTTGGTTGCTAGGAGATGATTCCTTGGAAATCTCATTGTCCTTATCAGTAAATGATTTGTCTTCGACGGGACTAACCTAGTAATTAATTGAATCTTGGTTGTGCAGAAGCGAATGCGGAGATGCTACTTGACAGCAAGACACACAATTGAAAAAAAAATTATTTTTTTTTCCCATATATTTATCAAAAATGAAATTTCAATAATAGTTTTATACTAGTTGTTTTTTGCGCTATCCTAAGGACCAAACTAAATATATTTAATAATATTTATTATACTATTGGTTAATTAAAATATATTAAATTAAAGATAAAAAATAAAATTTCATAAAATTTTATAGTTTTCAATCAAAATTTTATATTTTTTAAATAAATTTTGTATTTAAAAAACACTATTTGTTATTTCTTACGTATTTTTTAAATAAAAACCCACAATAATCTAAATATAAAATTTTAAAAATATCTTAATAATTTTTTCATATCATTGCATCAAAAAAATAAAATAATGATTAATATAAAAACCTCTCGTAAACTTAATCTTTGTTATTCTTATTTAATACCGATGATAAGATTAACTTTTTTAAAATATATACATTTTATTTATATATATTTATTTAAAAATAATGAATAATATTAGTATAAAAAGTTGTATTTGAATTATTAGGCGATTTTTCTAAAATATTATTTTAATTAATTTATTTGAAAGATTTTAATTTTAAAATATTAAAAAATAGTGTATGGTTAGTATTGTGTGTGTAGATATATAATTAATTTTTAATAAAATCAATTATCCTAATTTTTTTATATGTTATGACTATACTCAATGAATTAGAGCTCGCAAGCATAAATCAAAAAATATTTAAAAAAATTATAAAAAATATATTAAAGTTAAGAGAATGCAATAAAAATATAAAATTTAATTATATAAAAAATAAACAAATAAAGTAGTTGAATTTTATTTTTAAAATTTAATTATCTAAAGAATAACCAAATAAAAACAACTAAAAAATTATTTAAAAATCCATAAATAGAGAAAATAAATAATATTTTTTAACAAATAAAATTAAATAAAATATTAAAAATTAATTTGATGAGAATTTTATAAAAAACATAAATAATAAGAATAATGTAATTGATATATATATATATATATATATATATATATATATATATATATATATATATATATATATATATATATATATATTCATTTTAAAATCTAAAAACATATCGTACATTTTTCATAATCATTAGCATGTGTGAAAAAAAAACATAAATGGGTGGAAAAAAAGGGAGAAAAAAAAGTAGCAGGTCCGCGTAGGGGTGAGCAAACGATTCGGTTAACCGAAAACCGAATAAAACCAGTACCGTATTAAGAAATTTGGTTCGGTTTTAAATTAAAAATTGTACAATTCAAAACCGAACCGAAAAAACCAAAATTATTTCGGTTCGGTTCGATTTTTGAAAAAAAGTTCGGTTTTAACCGAAAACCGTAATGAACGATAAAATTTTTTTAAAAAAATCATATTCTTATTCTAAATCCCTAATCCTAACTTTAGTCTCTTCTTTCTCTCACTCTCTCTTTCGAAACCCTCACAAGCCATCGACTCACGCGAATCGCGATCATCCTCCACTCCATCAACTCATCTCACCGTCTTCTTCCCTAATCTCCTTCGGCTTCATTCGCTTCTTCTCCACTCTCCACTCTAGTCCTCCGTACTCCGGCTTGCTCATCCCGTCACCTCGCCCTCGCAAGTCGCAAGTAACAAACTAGTAAGCCCCGTCATCTTCTTTGATCTCACGGAGTCACTGGTCATCCTTATCAATCACCACCTTCCTCTTCTTACTCGTGTCTCCGGCTACCTCGACCCTCGCCTACTCTTCGTGTCTTCCTCTTCTCGCGAGCTCTCCCTAGTCCCAAGGTCGATCTCTTTTATTTTTTTATTTTACCGATAGTGATAACAAATTAACAATAATGTATTGGACTATTAGGCAAGATTATCAAATTAACAAATCGATATGAACTCTATTTTGTACTCGTCATATTGTCATTGATTTAATTTTTAACACGGATTAAGAAAAGGAAAATGCATGATTGGGGGGGGTTCGCTTGAAAAAAAGTGTATGACTCGTTTATCGTACATACATCCTTTCTATGAATGAAAGGATTCGCAACCGGCTTGCGAACTCAAATCCCTTCAAATTCAAGCATATATCACCTTTAAATAGCTAAAGTTCCACAAGTATTATCTCGCTTTGGGATTAGGTTATTCAATTGTTTTGTGACTCGGGAGGATTTTAATAAGTGTGAGGATTGTTTTGAATGACGAGTCATCAAGCCGAAATGTGTGATTCGAAAGCTAGAGGCGAGCTTCCGGACATTATTCTCATGAAGGTAAACTAGTGTTTTTTTTTTTGTGTGGAAGTTAGGTTGACTTGTTGCTTCGGTTTTTGTTAGGAAGTAGTCAAAGTTAATAATTTTGATATGTAGTAGTGATATTTTTTATCCATAATCCTTGTTAAGCCTTATCTCGTATATGGGATGCATCCGATTTGGAATTATTTTCTTTTGTCGAGGATATTTTGTTGTCATGTATCCAGTTTGTTTTGTTGGTCATTTAGCATTTCGTATATGAATAGGATTGGGTGAGTGTCTCAAATCTTAGTCGCTCAAATCAAACATCTCATGGAATTAGAAAGCGTAAAAGAGCAGATGATCTGTTATTGTTCTTGCAAGTATATACTATAATCTTTGTATTGTTTTTCTCTCCTCCTTTTCTTCTTAATTTCCTTGTTTGTGTGTATAATGGAAATCTTTTTTTCTTAATTTTGTTGTTTTTGTGTATAATGGAAATTAGGAAAATCCAAGTTAAGTATCCATTGAGATCCGCCACCAATCTAAGGATGACAAAGATAAACCACAACTCTCTTTTTCTTCTTCTCGCTTCCAAGAGGTACCAACATCTCCGATCAATTCAAACCGTAAATTCTCTCCCTTTTTTTCTTAATTAAACATATATTTATAGACTTTTAACTATAGGGTTGTGTTTATTTTTCAAGGGAAAGCTCGCATCAACTTTGAGTAAAAGTATGGGTGTCCTCGATCTCTTTGGCAAGTACAAATCTGCTAAGCCACCTAGAAGACTATCTATTCCTCGCTAAGTCAAGGGCCACAACTCGCTCCGAAACCACCAAGCAGGAAACATCACCCTAATATCCGAGTCCGGAACCAAGCGATTTGCTACAAAAAATGATACCCTTTTTTCTAATTCTTCTAGTGGCTTCAACCCGAAAGAAATTCAACGTGTTAGCCTTAGCTTCCTATTGGCTATCACAAATTAAGATCTCTCGAAGTTGTTGCTAAATGCTAAGCATTCAATTTCTCTTGCTTTTTTTTTGTTCTCGCAAGTTGTATTTTATGTCGAAGGTTTGTGTCGACTTGACTATGATCTTGGTGTTAATAGTTGGAGAGTATTAATTCAAGATGCTAGATTTGGGGATGAAAAATTTGGGGATTATGATCGGACAAGTAAATTTTTGAAAGAGCTGAATTTTTTTCTTTTTTTACAGCAAAAAGTTCGATTAACCGAATTATTTCGAAACCGAACCGAAATAATTCGATTTCAAATCGAATTAACCGAATTAATTTTGGTTCGGATTCGGTTTTCATTTTTTCTAATTCGGTTAACCGAAAACCGAACTAAATTAAGTTTAACTAAACCGTTTAACCGAATGATTACCTCTAGGTCTCGCATTCTTAGCTTTTACATGCCCAAGACAAGCTTGCGTGCACAGGCCTGTAGAAATAGGCCCAACGCAAGCTGGGCGCCTGGCCTTTGCAGAGGCAGTCCAGAGGACCAAATTAACGATAAAACAACTATTTATTCACTGTTCATTTCCCCTAGATCCTTTAGTTTTTCTGTTAATTAGTTTCTAATATGGAATTAAGATAGAATGCGAACGTGATATTTTTGTACATTTGCTGCGTTAATGTGTTTGTAATTCTAAATGGGATAAATATTGCTTATCCAACGGAAAATTTGTCCGTGGATTCACCATTGAACGGATGGACAAGTGACATGAATGGATTAAAACTTGAGGGGACGAAGGGGTCGAATCTTAGGATTTTTTAAACGGTTTCTACAATTATGTCTTGCGAGATATTTGTTTAAATTTTGATAGTCGATGATATCATATATTTCAGTCACGACTTTAACCTTAAAATTTTGCATTCACCAAATAATCAAGGATGATAAACAGTTTTTTTTTTAAATTGCTTTCAAGAGAACGGACCACACCAATAATTCAGAAGATTACTCGCTTTCAGTGTAACTTTATTTTGATTAGCATTCCATACCTATTTCTATAGTTTAAATTTTCTTAATACTATCCTTCTAGTTCGTATAAAAGTCCAATATTACCCCTAAAAATCAAATAACCTACGTTTTGAATTTGGATTTTGAGTTTTTCTAGCCTTTTAAGCTTGTAAGATATTATAATATGTATTCTAGTTTTCACTAGTTATTTGGTAGTAAAGGTTAAAATTGAAACTTCTTAAAACCTATAGTGATAATAATGGAAAATGCAAAAACTATGAATGCAGAATAAAAAATAGAGTTTAGCCTTACTTTTACCAATATTTTCGCTTCCTTAAAGAAAAGGGTCCCACACCAGTTGAATGCTTGAATTTTTTTGCGTAAGGCATACGGGAATCATGGCTTTTATAAAGCAATTTTAATTCAATTCTAGTACAAATCAGCTCCTTTCCTTTCGACCAGCCAAAAACTTGCACGTCATTTCTCCTTTTCAAAAAGGTTCAAAACTAGAAAACTTAACTCAGAAGTAGTCAACCAAATAGATAAGCTTTACTTGGATTTACTACTTAATGAAAAAAATGGAGTAGAACAAAATTTGGTCTTTCCGCTAGCATAAAGCAGGCTGGGTGATATTGTTTTTGAAGCAACAAAACTTTGAAGATGATCAAACTACAGGTTGGAACGAAAGACCTACGACCTTACTGGAATCAGACTGAATTATCCGTTCAAGAATTTGATTGGGATCATAAGGGGTGCACCGACATCTCCCACATTTATATTTCTCATGATAACTACATCCGTTTTATTCAACTTCAGTATGTTGAAGAGAATGGAGAGTTGTCCAAGCTTTCTCCTTCGCCTCGTAAGAATTCTTATGGTTGGAAATTCAATGTTGTAAGCCTCTCTATCCTCACTCTCTAAATACGGTAGATTAATTTGAACGTTGATCCAAGTTTCCTTCGTTTATGATTTTATTTGCTCACTGATCTATATTGTACCATGCATTTTTGTTAAACCAAATCAAAGGGGTTTGGATTTTATCGTTTTTGGAAGATTTTTATTCGTGGAATGTGGAATATATATGTGTGAATGTTAAATTTGAATAGCAGATTAAGCTTGATTATCCACGTGAGGTTCTCAAGGGGATTAGTGGCTATTGGAAAAGCAATGTGACTTCATTGACATTTACTACGAACCGTCGGACATATGGGCCATTCGGTTGCAAGCGAGAAGATAGTACTGAATTCGATCTCCAAACTGGAGATGAACCCCTCTTTGCTGGATTGCATGGATCCTTTGATTCACTAGGTCTTAAAACAATTGGAATCTATGTGAATCCAGAACAAGCCAGTCCCTGACAGCTATCATCGATCTGAGAATATTTAGGAAGAAATCTGTTGTCTAAGTTTGTCGCTTCTTGCCTACCTCGCTATTTGTAAAAACCTTTGGTTGCCAAAGCTTGAATTCTGGTTCAAACTTTTGGAATATGAACATCAAACCTCGGAATGACGATCGATTGCGTTGACTGTAAGCTTTGTATCTGTATCTATGTATAAAAATGAAAAAATCTGCTACTATTTGTGTGTGTGATGTATTTGATTTTTGTTTGCTACTTTTTTTGCATCTGCTATATATATATATATATATATTATTTTAGAGGTTTCGAAACTGAAAATTGGCCTGGAAGCAGGGCAGTGGTGGTGTGGTTACTATTTATTAACCCTAGAGAATTACCTGTTTGTGAGCAGAACCTTTTGTTTTTTTTTTTTCAACTAACACCAGCATATCAAACCTGTGTATCCAATTAAGTAGATGCTTTGATTAAAGCAGCTGTAACTCGAGTTTTCTGATTCAAGTGTTTGGTCATCCGTCGTTTATTAGTCCCTGAATTTCAATCGTCTCTGAAAGATAAACAAGGTGTTAGACACTTCAAAATTCAAAGTCATACATTGATCATCTGAGGTGTCTTATGACAAAGCAGTAAGGCATAATTGAAACGATGTTTTTTGATCTTATAACCAAGCAAGTTTCGACGAAGCCTTAGAATTTTAATGAAATGATGCATTTAGTCGTCACTAATCAAGTTTCGACTAAGCCTCAAGTATTTAATGAAACGATGTGTTTTGCTCTTATGACAAATCAAGTTTTGACGAAGCTTTAAGTCTTGAGTAAAATGGTGATTTTGGTTACATAACCAATCATGTTTCAACAAAGTTATAAGATATAAATAAAACGATGTGTATGGTTTTGCATTCAGTCAATTTTGATGAAGGCAATATGCATAAAGAAAACAAAAGGATAGTTACTAATAACTATTTGTGTTTGAATTTAAATAAAGAGTAGTTGTTAGTCAAAAGCTATTTAAAGGGAAATGACCAACAAAATCGTACAAGATCAACAACACAAGACTTTTTAAACAAATTTATTTAAATCTTTTAGATTATCCCGTAACGAGTTAGTTTCTATTTTTTTTTGCAAATAGTACATTAGTTCGTTACTATTTTTCAATAGATTTATCTTCATATTTTAGAAAGAGTTGATCTCGTCGAATGACATCGAATATATTGATAGCTAACAATATAAGTGTCATATATTTCGATTTATGATATTTACACATTTAATGAATTTTGTCTCTTCCGATTGATAAGATTCTGTTTATTTTATTATTTACCCTTTAAATTAAGTATCCATAGAAAGTTTTAGTGGCTTGCTAAGCGAAACGAACTCTATAATATTTCATTACGAAGGACTTAATCACAAATTAAAGTATTGATATACTCCACTTTAAGATTAAATTCGACAAGTAGCAACATAGGGCCTTTGAATGAACTTGACAAATTGCTATGTTTCTAAAGATGTAATAAAAGTTGAGAATTAGCTCAAACTAATAACTGGGTATTCATAGGTAGGATAATAGAAAGCATTTCCAGTAAGTATATAATCTTATTGATTCTTATTTCTCTTTTCACATAGACTCTTTACCCTACCACATCTTGCACAAGAATTAACTCTCCCTCTCAGGAGTCCAGATTATGTCCACCTCTTCAAGATTCTTGAATTCCTTAAGGTTGTAAATGAATATAAGTAGGGGTGAGCATAATTCAGCTTAACTAAAAAAACCGAACCGAATCGAATCAAATTATGTATTCATTTTGATTTTGAACTTAAATTTGTAAAATTAAAAACCAAATCGAAATATTGAAATTATTTTGATTCGGTTCGGTTTTTGAAAAAAAATTGATTTCCCCAAAAATCAAATATATTGAAAGGAAATACTAAAAAAAGGATAAAAAAATGAAAAGCCTAGGGATTTATAAAAAATTTATTTCCTACACCTAGTTTGAGATTTAAATTATAGTATTCAAAGAGGAAGCATATCCTTTATTAGCCCAGCTCATATATTAAAAAATGAAAAACATCTAAATATTAGCTCAACCCATATTTAGAATTTACCAATTAAAAAGAAAATTATTTTCGGTTAAAACTGAATTTTTACGAAACCGAATTGAAATAATTTGATTTCAAACCGAACTTATTTCGATAGGATTTCGATTTTGATTTTTCTTAATTCGATTAATAAAAAACTTAATTGAATTTATACAAAACCGAACTATTTAACCATTTACCTATCCTTACATATAAGATCATTCAACACACCAGTAGTATAAAAGATATATACGCTGAATTTACTAATTAACGAAAAGTCCTCCTTTATACTACTCCTAGTGACTTGAAAAGTTGCTTCCGTTTTTTGAGATTTTTAGCATTCGCGATGCCTCTTTGACAGCATCATTCAATTGGTTCACTTGTCCAGAAGAACATCACCGCCTATTTGAACCCCAACTATCCTACTGCTATTGCAGTCCCATAGATTCAATTGAACTTGGCAAATTAAGATCCAAATATTGCTTTTGCTATTGAAATTACAATTCAATCAAAGCCAAGACGATCAAAATAGATGCTGTTGGTGACAGCACAAGGAAACAGCTTGGGATGAGAAGGGCCGTACCAAATTCCCCCACATTTTTATTTCCCATTCACATTTTGAGATCGACTCTATTCAATTTCAACATCTTGATAGTAATCTTTCTTAAATTATCGAATTCTCTCTAAATCACTTTTACATATTTAATAGTTTTTCTTTCTTATCTATACTTGATGTTTCCCCTTCAAATTTTCTAAATTTTGGAGAGAAAATATGCTCCACAATCTTTATAAATAAAACCTTTAATTGAAAATATCAAATTTTCATTGCTTTTGAAATTAAGAATTAGAAATTGTGACTCTGCTCAAAATTAGTAAACTATTTCACGCATCCAATTGAAATTAATTAGACAGTTGCTGCTGCACTTAATGGTATTTGTTTTGAAAATATAATTTCTGATATTATTTATTCTTTTTTTTTCAGGTATTAAAGTCCTGATTTAAAAAAAAAAGTCGAGCATTTTAATTTCAATTTTCTGAACCATACATTTTGTAAGAAATTTGCAAGTTGACTGCGCGTATTTTGCTAACTTGCCCTCGATAATAGAAAATTTTCTCAAAATTGCTTAAATTGATTTTAAGAAATGAAAAATTCCAACATTACTTGATCATTAATTTTTTTAAAAAAATTAAAATCATATTATCGTATAGTTCATGAATATTGTCAAAATGAAAAAAATAATTATGTCAATTTAAAATTGAAAATTTTGATTGAAAAACATATTGGAGAATTAAATATAATATAAGAACACAATACACATAATTAGAAACGTAAATACTTAGTTTTTATTATGTATAATCCGAGATCAAATATATACTTTTAATAACAAAATTAATAACCATTCAACATTCTTCTTTCGTTTTTGAATCACTATTGCAATGTTCTTATTATAAGTCGATTTAACTCAAATTCGATCTTCAAATAATTCCAGTAAACGTATAGTATTAGTGTTTTCTTAAATTATACAACAATCTCAAAAGAAATGCTTCTCCTATATGAAAAAAAAAAAAAAAACTACATAATCCATAGTATTAGTTTTTTTTTTTAAAAAAAAAGATAATTAACCTTATACCTTTTACAATTATAATACATAAAAAAAACCAACAAATCTTAAAATCAGCCAATCAATATACTCACGTGTAAATATAGAAATGAATTTAATGGTTAACTTAGTTAAAATTGATCACAAATAGAACACTATATCAAGCAAATATTCTAATAAAAAAATGTTTATAATGAATAATAAAATTATTAGTAAGAAATCTAATGAACTTTATCTATAGTGCTCTCACTTATACATATATTCAAGTTATTTTCTAACATATTAAAGTAATAAAAAAGGTAGTGAAATTTATTATTTATTTTTCTACCTGGTTTCTAAAATATGTACCTCATGGAATTATTTTTTGTATAATTCTTCCCAACCCATCTAATTTTTATCTATACATCTTCCAAAGAAAGTAATCTTTTCCTTTTCTCTCACATGAAATCCAATTTTTATAAATAAAGAACACGGACATACATTTTGTGCTAACTTATTATTTAGTGTTGTAAATTTTTGTAATATAGAAAAAATAAGCATTTTTTTAAAATATTTGCTTCAATTCTAACAAAAGAGAGATTTCTTTTTAAAGTGGTGCACAAAGAGATTTCTTCTTCTTCTTTTTTCCTGCCATTAATGTATAAGTCATTTAATAATAACCAACTAAATGTTTAGCCATGTTATGCTTTAATTAATGGGATAATTATAATATAAGTATACTAATTTTTAACTTTTTCTCACTTAAGTAAATGAATTTTAATTTTTTCATTTGAGTACATCAATTTTTTCAAAATTATCAATCAAGTACTTCTATCAATTTTTTCATTAACCGATGACGTGCCTAGTACCCTTAAAATACCAAATTGTAATTCTATCCTTTTTTTCAATCAAGCACATGAACTTTATTTTTTTCGTTTCAGTACATCGATTTTTTAAAAATTATCAATCAAGTACTTCTATCAATTTTTTCGTTAATTGATGACGTGTCTAGTACCCTCAAAATACCAAATTATATTTCTATCCTTTTTTTCCATCGAATACATGATTTTTATTTTTATTTTTTTGTTTGAGTACATCAACTTTTTTAATATTATCAATCAAGTATTTTCACTTTCTTCATCAATTGATTACATATTCGAATATAAAATTATAATTTTACCATTTTTTTTGTTGGAAGAAACTTTCTTTTCAAATTATTTTACTATTTTATTATTTGAAAAATAATTTAAAAAATATTTTTTTATCTATAAAATGCCAAATTATACTCCATTAGCTTGTTGTTAAAAAAAAAAAAAAAAAAAAAACTCAGTCAAGTTTAAAAGTGAAAAATTAAAAAAAAAATACAAATGAATTTTTTCGATAAAAAATCTTACATTTGTGTTTTCTTTAATTTTCACGTTCAAAACCTAACTCGTTTTTTTTTATTATTATTATTAATAACAAGCCTTACTAAGTTTTGTTTGAGATAAAAATAAAATTTTTTAATTCTTTGTCAAATTTTAAAATGATAGAATAATTTAAGGAGAAAGTTCTTTATAACAAAAGATAATAATAATAATAATAATAATAATTTTGTATTCGAACACATCATTAATCAATAGAGAAATCGATGAAAGTACTTGATTACAGCTTTTAAAAAAATTGATGTACTCAATCTGAAAAAATTAAAATTCATATACTCCATTGATGAAAAAAAGGCAAAATTATAATTTGATATTTTGAGATAACGGACACATAATTAGTTAACAAAAAGATTAACGGACGTACTTGATTGAGAGTTAGGAAAAACTTGATGTACTCAAACGAAAAAAATTAAAATTTATGTATTTGATTGAAAAAATATTAAAAGTTGATGTACTTATATTGTAATTATCCCTTTAATTAACAACGAATCACAACAATCCATCAAGGCTATGGAGCACATACAACTAAAACTCAAGCACTTCCCACTTTTATATGGATTACAAATTTATAATTACAAACATAGATACTATATTTTATAAACTCTAATAAATGTATGTATGCATATGTATATTAGGATTCTAAAATAGAAATCTCATTGGTATTAAAAATTTTGTTTCTAACCTTTAATCTTCCTTGGCTATGGTACGTTGCATATTCTTACTAACAACTAATTAATCAACTTCAACACTTACTATGTTGTAATTATCAATAACACCGTTAATATCTATTTTTTATCAAAAAAAGAAGTTAATAACTAATTAATCTATTTCTAACAAGCTATAGTTAGTTATGATATTCTTTCAATTTATCGTTATCTATATGTATTTTTAACAAGCTATATTTACTCAGTTTCATATTTTCGGTAAAATTTTGGTTTCTTCTGTTTTTACAAAATTTTGCAATTCATTAGCATCGTTAAACCTACTTACGTGTGTGTGATTCATAGATAGGTTCAAAAAAATTTTGAATTGTGTATTTTCGATAGTTTTTTATTTGTTTAGAGATAATTGTATATTTTCAAGTTAGTTTTTTTATTAATCGATGCTAATTTCATCACTTTTCTGATTAAACCAATATCAAAACGTGCTTAGGTTTTGTCCAACAGATTGAAATAGCTATGCTAATTGGATTTGTCAGCTACACCCTATTAAGCAATATTTATTTTTTATATTTAGAGATAATTGTGTATTTTTGAATTAGTTTTCACATCAATGGATACTAATTTCATCATTTCAATCTACCTTTATATATATTACTAAACCAATATTGTATTTGTGATCTCTATATATAATAAAAAAAGTATCCAAATAATTTTAAAAAAATTATATTATTGAAGTTTCTACTTAATTTGGTCTACCTTGACTCGTTCCAACATAATAAAATGATATAGAAAGATAATTTAAAATGTTTTTAGATATTTACTTTAATTTTTAGAAAAATAATTTTCATCTAATAATTTATTATTGCTCTATGTTAATAAAATATATTACTAATTGTAGTCAAGATAATATAATTAGTAATAGATATTAAATAATAATAATAAAATATTTGCAATACTTTACGTAGACATCAAAATTATAGTTATTTAAGCATGCATCTAAAATAATTAATGCCACGATATATTTGAATTTCCTATCATTTATTTTCTTAATTAACTAAGATCACCAGCAATTTTTTTTTAAAATTACAGAAACTCTAGAACAAATCCTTTAATTCAAAGGATTCAACAAATGTTATTATTTGAACACGTAGAACAGGATAAAATCCTACTTCCTAGAGATGGAAGTCTTAGAGTATCTCCAATGCTCTCTTTATATTAAGATTTTTCTTTATAATAAAAAGGCTTGATCCAAATTTCATCTTCAATGCTCTCTTTATCACAATCTTTATCTTTAAAATTAGTATAAAGAGTGTCTTTGGCTCTCCAATACTAGAGAGTCCAAATGACTCTTTATTTTATATTTTATTAATGAAAATTACTATTTCCAATGCCACTCAACCTCTTCACCAATAGTCTCTATGGGTTTTATAGATTTTGTCAAAATAAAGAGTTAAATAGAGAGTAGCATTATAGAGGATATTGATCTTCTATCTATATAACTAATGATACTCTCTATTTACATTAAAAATACTAGCTAAAAGTAAAGAGCACCATTGGAGATGCTCTTATATTTCCAATTTTACTGTAGTCAATACAGTAGCAACCAAATAAATAATATTTAATTTATTAGTTAATTTCTTTTACACATGGACCAATAAGAACAATTTTAACGAACTTGGTGAGAATACAACTAAATTCAAGCCCTTTTTTGTCCTCACAAAAATTTTAACACTCAAAAACTTACATATATATATATATATATATATATATATATATATATTGCCTTTTTGCATGAGTTCAGATCCCAACTTCGGGAGTCTCTTAAACGTTTTGTGCTGAATTAAAATGTGTTCGACTTATTTCCAAATTGAGTTTGAATTAAAAGGGGTTCAACTTCAGGTCATGAACAGTCCAAGGCGGCTAAATGAACCCACAGAGCAAATCTCAGAGGTGAATTACAAGGGAAATGTACGAGGGAATTTGATTTTTTTTTCTGGTTATAATGATGCATTTATCATCTTAACTGTTGTTCATTCATCTGCAGTTCAGTTATGACTTATAAATCTATCAGAAAGATTTTATTTTATTTTTTTACAGGGGGGGGGTACATTTCCAATGCTGGTTGACGTTAAGATGATTGCGTGGAAACGTAAGATCTTCTATACCTGCTTCGAAATAATATGTATTGAAATAATAATAATAATAATAATAATAATACTTGTATTAGATTTCATGTACAAACTAATGCTTATATTAACCCTGCTGCTATGACAAGGATGGGATAAATGGATATAACATTGCAAGTAAGCTGAATTTAAGGTACAAAAATTAACAGTTAAGAAGAAGCAATATAGAAAATAGATGGTTTCTGCTTGTCATATCTGTAATTTAATATAAACAATTTTAATGTTAATTATCTTCCCATGTGTTAGCACTTTACAAATCACTTTGTTCTATGGCGACGGACATTCTGCCACAGTTACAATGTTGCTGTACTAAATAATTTCTTCACTTTTCAGACTATAAGATTCTTGAACCATGAACTTCGTAAATCGGAAGACATAAGTGCCTCTTTAGACCTGGCGCCATACCCTCCGCATTTCTCTTTTAAACGACTGCTAGAATTTGGCAATAGTTCAGCGATTGCTTTTCACTGGTTTCCATACACTTCTTGGTGACTTACCTCTCCATGGCGCAGGACTTGCAGATGTTTCCAGGTTGACATCTAACTTGGTTGTATCAAGAGACAACCTTTCTTTAATGAAAGAATCCAAATCAAGTGCACTCCTCCCACCTTCTTCATCGTTGTCGATGTTGTTAGAGGATGATTTACCGGCTGAGTTGTTATCAACACCATTTTCTTTATCTCCTGTTATACTTCTTAAAGCTTCCAGTGACTTCTTGTATGGGTCCTGATCCATGTTCAGGAGCTTCTTTATGCTGGCAACTGCTGGGTCAAGGATATCTAAAAATCCTGTAACCCATGAGATATCGTCTACAACTTCGATACGCTGTGCCATAGGATGAAAACATGTTAAATTGAGCTTTAAAAATTAGAATATTAATTGTAAGTTTCGGAAATCATTAAAGATTAAAATGAATAGTGGCAAATTTGTGAGCAGCATAAAGCAGCATGCATGATTTACTGATGAAATGATAGCAAAATGAAGAGAAACATGAGTGGAGGAGTATAGACCAATAACAGAAATTTTGTTTTTGACAAATTTGATTAAGTGACCAGGTCATCCAAAATGTGGGTACTAACAGCAGAAAATCGTACTTTTGTGCTAGATCTTGTCATTTAGGGTACACAAAGGTGATTACTGACCTGTTGGAAGTAAAGGTTCCGAATTTCTTCTGCTCGCACACTGTTTCCTTGATCCTCCTCCAATTGTGCCCATGTCATCCATGTGACATAACTCTGAGAATTTATATTCAGGGATGATCTAAATAATCTTCGAGCTGCTGACATGTTGCCAACTCTTTGTTCTAGGACACCCCAAGCCTGCAATGGAATAAGACACTCGCATTGACATGGATTAAAGTCATTCTAACATTGTTGTTAACTATGCATGCATTAGAATTCATGGTACCTGTAGACATCTAGCTGCACTTTCGGTGTTTGTGTCAATTGAAAGAGCCTTTTGATATAATTCCCTTGCAGTGGATATGTTGCCTTCTTTCCATTCCATCCATCCCCAAGCCTAAATTAGGAACAGCAACCAGTCAAATAAATTTTACAGTGATTGAGGTACAAGTGTTTCTATTATGAGAAAACGAGACACAAGAATAATTTGCTATTTATGTTTGCAGATCATGTTTGCATCGATTATGCATGCAACAATAAGGAATTTTGAAGGACGAGGATATGACAAAAACTGGATCGAGTTTGATTGCTAGATCTTAGTATTGTATGAAGAAATTTCTTACAATCCAAACTGGTTGGTGCCTTGGGTCCAATTCAGATGCTTTCCTGAACAATACTCGCGCAAGATTTGCAGTAGAGTGTTTATATTCCAATAAAGCAAGAGACTGAAGCAGAACAGGATCCCTTGGATTGAGTGCATGGCCTATCTTTAAAAGTTTTCTTGCTTTCTCAATATTTCCAATATTAGATTCAAAAACTCCCCATATGTGCCATGCAAATCTGTTCTTGGGACTTGCTTGCACTGCTTTCTGCAAATTAAATTAAAAATAAGAATATTACAGTAAGAAAGACCAAAAAGGAAGCAAGCAGAGTTAAAATGTGAAAAAAAATCTGGCCAAAGAAAGGAATACCTCAAAGAGTTTCCTAGCAGTAAGATTGTTCTCCTGTTGCATTTCTACTTGTGCCCATGCCTGCATCAGAAGAGCTCAACAGAATGAAGAAGTACTTTATGAAAGCAACATCACAACAGCTAAGAATGTTTAGGATGTCAAGTACTTACAAGCCAACTAGCACAGCTTTTTGGATTACACTTGGTTGCTTGCATGAATAAGTAACGAGCCTGCTCATATCGATTTGCTTTAGCTTCCAACAACGCTAATGTTTGGTAAACATACTCGTTTCCACCACAAAACTTAAGGCCTTTAGCAAGTAATTGCCTTGCCTTCTTGACATTTCCCTGTTTTAGCTCTAGAATTGCCCAACCATGCCAGGCAGCTATGTGTCTTTTATCAGCAACTGTGGCGGCATCGAATAACTCTCTTGCTCTTCGTATGTTACCCATTTTATTTTCCAAAACAGCCCAGCACTGTTCCAAGGACACATGCCCTGGTAAATTCCAATACCAAAAACGAAAGTAGAAAAGGAAAGCAGTCCATCCTATTAAATCTTAACGAACGTTGTGTCAGCATTACTGATTTTACAACATATATCACTATGTTATCATTCCATAAAAAATGAAAGAAGGAACCAACAGTATATATTTTGGCAATACGCAATACCAAAATTAGGCACCTGTGGGATGCTAATGTGAGAGAGACGACAAAACACGACCACAAGTTTGGAATTACGGAATTTTCCAACGTTTAATCTCTGCAACCTATTCAAAACTCAATGATCATATAGTGACATTATAATTATTCTCTGTATTACATGAGTAGATGGGATATTCATTTAATGCAAAAATCTATCAACAAATTTCACAGAATTCAAACACCGGAATGACTCGGCTGTAAAATTACCACAATTCCAAGGGTTAGTAGCAGGACAATCTAAGAAATTACAAAACCTTCAAGATACCCTCCTTTTGACTCTCACTAGTAAATGGAAAATGGAAAGCAATACCTAAATCAAACTCAGGTAACATTTGAACCTGCCACCTAGAACCAGGAGCTTAAAAAATAAAACAAAAGTGAATGTCCTAGAACTTGCTTCTGGGGCATACATAAAGATCAGAGCATTTCAAAAACCCTCAGCAATTGCCAAATCAATCAAACAACATTAGCATTAAAAGTTAAATCACTAACCTGCCAAATGTAAGGATTCTCTCCTTGCGTTGCCTGGCAACCTTTCTCATACACAGCTCTAGCTGCTTCTGTTTTTGATTGCTTGCCCAATATCTTCCCTAATGCCACATACGGTCTCCCATCTTCAGGCCAATAACTTGTACACTTGAAATAAAACCACAAAGAAAAACCCATTTTAACCCCACCAATTTCCCAAAAAAAATCAACAAAAGTTAATCACAACAAACAAAAAACTTACCTTTTGCAGTATCTCTTCAGCTTCTTTATACTTATAACGCCTGGTTAGCACCTTGGCCTTATACAAAGCCAGGTCCAAATTCACCCCAAGTGGCTTCTCTTGAGAACCAGAACCAGAGGACTCCACTCTCTCTGGCTCAAAAATTGGCATCTTTTTTGCAAACTCTTCAAGACCCACATCAATGATTGTCAAGGATTTCGTCTTATCATCATCACTCTCTTTCTCATTACTCTCACCGGAAACCTCCATTTCCGGCCGGCAGAACAACCAGCATTCCCTCCAAAGAATCTCTCTTTGACCCAATAACAAGATTGGTTTCTTTGTTGTTAAGTTCATTGGTTGTTGATGATTCTAAGGAAAGAGGCTTTGGGTCTAAAACAGGAGGGGATTGTTTAGAGGAACATGAGATTGCTGTTCTTGTTCTGGTATGGATTCTGAAGTAGAATTTGTAGTCGCTGTTGGGGTTTTGTGAGGGAGAGAAGAGAGTAAAAGCTGATTTTGAAGTAGACGAAGAAGAGGAGGGAGGAGAGAAGAGGTGCATTTTTTTCTTTCCAAATTTCTGTTTTTGTCAGCGGATAAAAACTGTCTGGAGGTTTGCATGGAAGGAAAGTGATCAAGAGAAGGAAATGTTGGGCGGGCTTTGTGAGGAAGAAGGTGATAGTGTGTAATGACCACTGCGTCCTTGTGGTTATTTGGAATATTTTTACCGTTAGAAAGTAGAATTTTGTCTTTCTGGCAATAAAAATATTGTGTAACTAGCCTTCATTTATGAGCTCTTCCGATCCAGATTATGTGCTGATGTGCGACTATCTACAGCATATAATTAAAAAAGAAAGAAATACTCCAATAAAATTTTGTTTTTCATATTTGAGAAATTTGATTTTTTTAACAGCTTTTCTTACAATTCAAACTATAAATTAATAACATTAAGAGCATGGTTATTTACCAACCTTCTAAAAAAATTAAGGTTTTCGGACAGAATATTATTCTTCTCCCAATCAGAAAAAAATATGTTTTTTGGGAATTATTATTAGCATATCAGCATATGTTTATATATTGAATTAGACGTAAATAAAAATAATTACGAACCAACATTTATAAGGAAAATGTCTCACATTCAAATCTGAAAAAGTAGAGATGAAGATTTTGGAATATAGATATATTGTTCATTCGACTGCACAAAATTACAGCACAGATAACAAAACAATATATTTTTTGTTATTTTTTTTGGCTTGGAGCAAAAAAAAAAAAAAAAAAAAGGTAAGTAAAAGAAAGCTAGTGCATCATGTAAAATTTTAGAGGGGGAGTGTATTTGAGTAATTGCAAAGAACGGACGTCACTGGCATAAGAGCAGCCACGTCGCTCAACACATCGGGAGGCTTAGCTCTTCAGTCTAGCTAGCAGATTTTTTTCCACGTGGACAACTTTTGTTGGTGGAGAATTATAGTCTATCAGGCACAACAATCTACTCTACTATTCTCGGACACATAATGCCAAAGTACAAGACAAGACAGCAATAACAGGACTTCGCTGTTTGCCTTTGTAAATTGATCTCTTCCATTTCCACAGAGAAGATACACCCAACGCAACATTTACTCTTTTTTTTCCTAAGCCTTTGGAGTAGGGTTAAACATGCAGCCTTTGAATCTTGGATGGAGCAGTCACATAGAAAGCACATATGAGAATATAGACTAGTAAAATCAGGCTATGCTTTTCAATGTTAATGCTTCTATTTTTTTTTTAATGATTGAATTAAATATCTGTATAAAAAATCTAAATATCAGATAGCGGTGCTCTTCCGTAGCCACAAGTGACATCTGAATTATTAATCTCACTATAACTGGTAGTAACTGAACAGCATAGACATCAGACTTTAACCCATCCACTGGGGGAGCTTCAGTGCTATCATGTTAAGCCTCACTAGTCACTACCCATCATCTGCAAAACTTCTGCACAACTATGTCACTCACCCAAATGAAAGATGGAAAACAAAATGTCTCACCAGTCTCAACAAAACAGAACAACGATTCCCTTCCGATGAAGAAAATAAATAGGTGCGATCACAAGCACAGTGCTCTACCACAGTCCCTGCATCAACCTACAAACTCAACAGATTAACGTGCACAAAGGTTAGTTGATCATTTTGAAAGAATGAACCTGCATCCAGACAAAAAGGGACTCAGAGAAAGAACATAAAATATTCAAAGAAGATTCAGCATCAACGTTTGACCATCTATAAATCCAGTTTATCCTAATCAATAAATATTAACATGAAAAAAAATAATCATCAAGCTATACAACAGAGATTTGTCATAGCAATAAATTAAATATCAAATTAACACTATGATGAGCATCATAGATGTTTATCAGCCCAAATAAAAAATGCATGACAATTTATTACATCAAGAAAAAATAAATTTGTCAGTTATTGAGTTGTAATTCCATGATAACTTGCCTGCTTCTATCCATCTATAGACATTCTGAGGTAAACCTGAAGCCCCAGACTGCTTGATTAAGAGAGGATAAATGAAATGTACCTGCAATCACAAAAACTTAAGTTCCACCCCACCGTCTTTTTCTGGCTGGCCTATCTTGGTTAGTCGGAACTGTATCGACTATCACATCAACTTGGGGTTCGGAAGTCTTATCCAGTTCCTTTTTCAGTGCAATTGGATCCTTAAAGCGCTCCCTGCGTTTTTCCATCTTCACTATCGTGTCCAGTATCCATTGATCGTCAAATGCCCCATCATTCTTGTTTCTACTGGAAGCATTTTCACTATGAAAATTTCTCTTCTTCACATTGCAAGTTGGGACCACACTTTTAAAAGCACTTGTTTTTGTCAACTTGCATTCCATGTTTGATTCCTCTGCCATTATCTGACCGACATCAATGTCCAATTTTTCATTGTGCTTGGTAACTGGAAACTTATCAAGCCATTTCTCGCCGTCATTGCCTTCAGTTCTAAGAACATCAGTTTTGATTGCATTTCCTGTCTGGGATTCATTGAAATCCTTTGAACATGTTGCCTCCGCAGCAAACTTGAGAACCATCTTTTCAAAGATACCTTTCTGCTTTAAACTTCGACCATTGGAACATCTTTCAGGGAGCTGCATATTATATTGCCACAAGAAGATGTTAACCACATATACCTAGCTATGATATAGATAGGACATAAACAAACTATGGAGAAAATTGAATACTTCAAATAAAATATCAAAATTGTAAAAAGTTGGATCACATTACAGGGGAACCCACATAATCAAAATCCTGAAAACCATTAAGGTAGCAAATCTGTACAGATATTTTATAGCGAGTTCACAATCTTAAGAATTAGTCATCAACTCTGCTTAAGAAACAAGCTATTAAAAATTATAGATAGATTAGCAGTACTTGCATACTGTCTTCGGATGTAGTATATTCCACGTCTTTACAAGACAGCATTGGAAACCTTCATCAGTCAAATGCTGAGTTAAATACCCATTCACGAACAGTCCATCAAAATGACTACCACTACAACAAGAAACTAGTCATTCCCAAAGCTTAATTAATATTTGCATTCTATGGGCTGACCCATATTTAGTTCTTTTCCAAGCACATTGACTTTTCCAGAACCAAAGACACAAGCTCTTTATGAACGCAATGAGGAAGTCCTAGTATTGAGAAGGTCAGATTCGTTAGAACGCTATCTAACAAATCCTCTCCTTACAAGATAAATGTATTCCATTACCAACTCGTCACAAGAAGACAAACAAAATGTTTAAACCATTCCCATTATAAAACTGGTTGCACAGCACTATGAGTATTCCTTGCATTTAGTAGCTCTTCCCTCAGTAAAGACAAACCATCAAGTAACAACAGCATTGAGAAAAGAGAGACTGTTTGCATACATGCAAGCAATAAATTAGCAAATAACTTCCATAGCGTCAAATCATGCAGCTAATAGGAAATGACAATCTACCACAAAATTCAGAGCTTAAAATCACCAAGGACCTGCCGTGTAAAGAAAACAAAAAGATAGGGAACAAATGGACAAAATTTCACAAGATAATGCACCAACATGCACCTATGAAAGAACTGAATAGGATTATCGGACATCCAAGAGCATGACATGCCATGATAAGCGCAAATTTGAAGATCAGGCAAATCTCAAGAAGAATTCACTTCACAACAACAAAGCAACAAGAGACCTTGACTCTTTACAAGGTCAAGAGTTTGCTAATGTCTCTACGCACCAAGACATATCAATTCAACATTTGAATCAATTACAAAAGATAAAAATGATGAATAAGCAGATAAGCAGAGGTATAATAATAATAAGAATCAGTCACAAAATATATGAGATTGCATAACGGTAGTAAAACATAAATGCTGAAACACACTGTCAAAGAAAATGCTGATTCAAAAACTTAATTAAAAAATATCAACTAGAATGAATTTTCCCAATATCAAGTAAATCACAGATCCAACACAAAATTCCTAATTTAGGTCCTAATCATCATGTCATTGAGTTATCAGCAACAATATTCCTTTTGCTGGAATAAACTATAGACCAGAGTATTAGGGGGATGGGTGAATGCAATATTGATAACTTGATAAGTATTTAAAAACTTCACGCCTGAGGGTAATCAATGCAACTAAGATACATTATAATTACATTGCTCTGTCATTTTGGAGGTATTTTGCAATCAAAATCACAATTCATAACCTTCTTGACAGCCAAAGAAACTATATCATGGCTTTCTAACTGTCATTTGCCAATCTGACCCTACTATTAACAAATCTCAAGCATCAAGATCCATGCACGAAGCGTACTAAATATACCAAAATGTCTCATGTGGAAAGTGGCATGTCTATAAAGTTTAGTTGAGGCTATAAAAAGTATGATGATTATCAGAAGAGCACAACAAGCAAATATACTTTTAGAAGAGTGCAACATGCAATATCAGGTGCAATCCCTGAGCATTCTCTACTAGCAGTTTATCAAAATCTGATTACTTGAAACTAATTTTTTATCGAACAGATCATCAAAGCCATCAAGCTGATTTCTTTTCTCAACCTTCTGAAGACTCTACTACAATAGCAAGCAAGAAAGATATATTATAGAAAATTCCATACTAACCATCCAATGGAAAGGTAGCATGTTGAATATGAATTCCATAGCAAGAAATATCATATTACACTTGCAATGGGACACTTGCAGAACACGGTCAATTGCTTATTACCAAGAGTTTCTTTACCTTGAATGGCTTATTGAAACTAAAGCGTGGGAAGACAAAAATATGCATAGTGAGCTTCAAGAAGTAAATTACATGGAAATATTAACATGAGAAGAATGTTGGATAAACACACAATGAGATAGCATTAGCAAGAATAAGACTTGCTGAAAACCAGATTGCTAATACATACAGGCACAATTGTACAAGGTTTCAATCTCAGCTTCCCCAACTTTACCTTTACTTTTCCAACAGTCAGGTCAACTGGATCACAGCACCTCTTGACCATCTTCTTATGCCCACTTCTATACATCCTACCAGGATTACTATTAAAGCACCTGGCATTACTTCCTTCTCTGATCATTTTGTAGCTATGCCGGTTAAAATCTATATCATTAACCACCACCCCAGCAGTGTCAGATCTATGTTTAGCCTGAATTCTTTCATGTGTTGAAGTAACTCCATAGGAACTTGATTCTCTTTCAACATAAAATTCATCAACATGATGCCTTAAAACTGATTCATCCGGTTTCCACTGAAGTACTCTAGATCTCCTGCTATATTTTCTCCTCCCCAGATGAACCTGATCGTCAGGATAAATGATACCATGTTCAGTGTCAACAGTATTATTACAACTACCATCCCAACCACAATCCTGGCCTTCCCGGATACATACTTGTCTCCTAGGTCTCCCATATCTTTCAGGTAATCTGTAGTTGAACATATCACTTCTTGACGGCAACATCCCCTGCCACCTTCCATCACTGGATTCATAAGTTTCCCTCCGAGACTTGGAGAAAAAATGTTGATGAAGTGGATCACAATAATCTTCTTCAGTTTCCATGAACCACGAACCATCCAAATCCATATGGGGATCGCCACCATATTTAACCCTTCTACTGGGAGGATTCCCTTCTCTCCCAATAAACAAGTTGTGACTTCCACATTTTTCATTCAAAGAAAACCTTTTCTGGTTGGCCAATGGAACAGATCTTCGACATTTTTCTTGCATTAAGTCATCTACATTTTCATGACCAAGCAAACGCATATTGCGAGTGGTCTTCTGAAATTGAATGTTTTTACTCTTCCTTTTCCGTAGAATTTCTCTCTCTTTGTGATTGTTGTACTTGGAAACCAAACACCTGGACCTCCAATAAGTGGGAGGAATCATGTTCTCAGGAGAAAGTATTCTTCCAGAACTATAAAAATCACTGCACATATCTTGATTGTCTAATCTAGATCTACGTTCATGGAAAAATTCCTTCTCATTCCAGTCCCTTCTGTTCTGTGGTATCATCTCACCTTTAAAGTTGTGGTGATATTTTCTATGACAGTGTTTTTTGTAAACAGCCTGAGCATGGTCGTCACTGCTCCTTTTACCACTGTAACCACAAGAAGGATCTCTCTGTTGATAATAAGAGAAATCTTCTCCATTTCGATAATCAAAATCATGCAACTTTTCAATCTGTCTGCTACAATCAAGGGATGGCTGATCCCTAAATGTGTGTGAGGCATCACTATGATTATTGGGGTAGATCCTCTGTTCAGGACCTCTGCAGAGTCTCCAATTGTGATCCTTCCTTCCTTCCCAAATGGGACTTTTATGGCTTGAACAATTTTGGATACCTAGTGTTCTTATAACGCTATTTCTTTTAGGGCTCTTATGGTTAGATGTAGCAGACCCCTGTAACTCGGTGCCTGAAGATGGCCTTCTTAAAGAACTAGGAGAATCTTTGACAACATGACAGACACTGTCTCTGGATGGTTCAGAATCACTATCAGTGTAGGATAGACTTGGGCTAAAATAGCTGTGATCACCCAGTGATAGTTCTGGCTCACTCAGAAATTGATCTGACTTGCACTCCTTACTGCCAATTTCTTCCTCTGACTTGTCTACAGTTTCCATTTCTTCGGTAATGCCTTCTGAAGAATGGGCATTTACCTTTCGATGATGATACCCATCCACATTAGAAATCAGGTTGGCTTCATTGTTATCAGGATCCGGATACATTTTATTCGACACTGACATTGACTGCAAACACCTAATCATAACAAATATAATCATTAACATCATGATTAGCTCAACAAAAGTACTGGTATATAAAGAAATTAAACTTCTAATATTATAGTCCTTCAACATAAAGTGCCCCCTGAATCAACATGAAAATCAAACATCCTAGACCAAGCATTAATCAATAAGCAAGCAACATCATCTTCTGTGAACCAAGTCTCTGCTTCATTATATTATACTAAGCATAAAATAAATGCATTTGAGACTTTTAGCCTCTGCTTAGAAATGAGATTCATTAGATGTGATATTACTAAACTGAGCATTCCTATCAAACTCCAGAAGCATAATAAAGCTCTAACCCACATCCAATACTTGTAAACATGGTAAAATGAATCCATTCCAAACATATATTCCATGGTTCCTTACTTCAACGGGTAGATCTTGACCGCTATAAAGCTACCATATTCAACAAGGAAAATCAATCCAAGTCAAACCAATTGTAAAGGAAATATGAGGATAGTTCTAAAATATAGAATTATAATTACAATTTGAGAAGCAATTGATATTTAAATGTTTAAAACTTTTCAGCGAAGAAGACCTGAGATTTCCCTCCAGAGACTCTGCAGAGGGTTCATCTCTACTGGCACTACCAGAAGAATGGGCATCACTTTTATCATCCATGTTTATATCCCTGCTTTTTGATGCTTTGGGTACAACGCTATCTATATGGCTTGATTGCTCCACACCAGAGCGAGAGGAATTGTCATCGGAATCCTGCACATTGATCTGTTCCCAACCATACTAAGAATTAATCATTATATAGAGTAAAAAAAATGTTGTAGAAGAAGGCATACATATTTAAAGTAACATCCAACCTGTATCACAACATCAGAATCCCAAGCACGCGGACGCCTTAAATCCATGGTTGGTTGACGTTCACCAATGCTGTTTTCAACCTGAATTGCTCTGCCTTTTGGCTGAAGCAATCAAAACAAGTCATTAAATAACATGTCCAAGAAGCTAAGAAAGCAAGCACAATAGAAATTCATATAGAAAATAAATTTAATCAACGTAACAACATTAATAGTATAAAGAAGGAATCCTTAATTTAGGGGGTACCAGTCCCAGCTGCTTCTCTCCCCTATCAGCATATTCTGATGAACAATCAACTTGAGTCATACTGTCAGCCATAGCTACACTATTCTGCTCAGGCCTTGATTCACTAGCCTAATTTCATTCAAACAGAATATAGTTGGAATTTTGAGCATTCAATTACGATTTCACAATGGACATGGAAAGACCCCTGAAAAATAAAAATAACTCACTTGGGTAGGTTTTGAAGAATGAAGAATGGACATCATGCCATGCATGTAAGACTGTTGCCGAGACTGCTCCTAAAATGCACCTCCCATAAAGTTTCAATGATTAGTGGCCATTTAAAAAAAAAAAAAGAAGAAGAAGAAGAAGAAGAAGAAGAAGAAGCTGTAATGGCAATATTAAGTAGCATAAATTAGTTGGGCATATCTCTGTTCTGATGGTTTTTCCTACACAACTGAAGTGTTTATAACTCTTTGATCGTGTGACTGTAAGGTCAATTATCTGACCAAGATAAGGATAATGGTTCAAAAGTTTACCAATGACATGCAGTACTGTTTCCAGCTATCCTCATCAAAACCAAAGTTGAAGAAATCGGATATATCAACTCCAGGATACCTCCACCGCTTCTCTTCAAATGCATCAATATTTACATCTAGTATGCTCCTGTTGAACACAAGGAAGCAAGATGTTACTTAATATAACTGGAGAATTAGAACTCTTGCATCCAATACATGAGCACAAAAACCCCCTTAATCATTGATCACTGCAGCAATAGCAGCCTCATAAATGTCAAACAACATTTACCCTCAGAACATTAATTCCTTTTGTATGTGCCTGCTTTGTGCCATAATCCTATAATAACCATAAACAAATTGTATTTGCACATAACTGAAGTAACAAAGGTAAACAAAGGTATTTACTAACCTAGGCCATGGAAGTGAGAAACCATATCCACCATGAGATAGTACTGAATTGGTTGTAGCATGAAAATTAGCAACCTGACCTGAATTTACCTTGTGCTGCTTGCACCTGTTATCTTCCCAATTATATCTAGCAGAGCTGGAAGAACGAGATGCCACAACAGCAGATTCATTGCCTTTTTTATTGCTTGGAAATGATGATCCATAAGGTCTTACATTCTAAACAATAGCACGAGAACAAGAAACTAACAAGGTTATTTTCACATCAAACTTCCATCTCTAGGAATATTATCATTATCAAAAATGAAAACACAGAACAAAGTATCATATTAACATATCATTCTGCAAACAAACGAACTAAAAAACCAAAACTCCTGAATCTTAAACTTTTTCAGATACTTGGGCTTGAGATACAATACCCCAATAATTCTCAAAAAGACATCATCTACATAACTATCAAAATCAAGTCAAGACATTACACAAAAAAAACACAACCAACAATCTAAAGCTACACGTTAAAATTACAACCACCAAGATAAACTCCAAAACAAAGTAATTAATCAAAACCCCCAAAACAAGATCATACTAAAACACTCTAGAAAAACACAAACTCCAGCTCCAGCTAAAAAAATAACAATCTTTTCAACAAAATTCAATACGTTATGTTGCAAACAGCAAATTACATCTCATTTCCATAAAAAAGAAAAAAAAAATCTAGAACAAAGTAGTTCAACAAAAGTTCAAGACTCCAAAAAGCACACTCCTAATCTCCAACTGACAACACGCAATTCTTAACTGAAAAACACACGACATCATTTCCATATATATATATATATATATATAACTAATACCTTATATTGCAAATGCTGCAAATCATCATCACCCTTTGCTCCCTCCCCATTAACACTACATTCCAAAACAAAGTAATTAATCAAAACCCCCAAAACAAGATCATACTAAAACACTCTAGAAAAACACAAACTCCAGCTCCAGCTAAAAAAATAACAATCTTTTCAACAAAATTCAATACGTTATGTTGCAAACAGCAAATTACATCTCATTTCCATAAAAAAGAAAAAAAAAATCTAGAACAAAGTAGTTCAACAAAAGTTCAAGACTCCAAAAAGCACACTCCTAATCTCCAACTGACAACACGCAATTCTTAACTGAAAAACACACGACATCATTTCCATATATATATATATATATATATAACTAATACCTTATATTGCAAATGCTGCAAATCATCATCACCCTTTGCTCCCTCCCCATTAACACTACATTCCACTTCATTTTTAACACCAACAAAACCACCACCACAACCCTCCTCCCCTTCGTCCGTCCCAAAACCGCCACCGCCACCACCATTACCATGACCTTTCTTTTCTTTACCAACTTCCAACCCTTTACAACCCACATCATTCAAAACAATATTCAAATCATCTTCACTATCACTCCCATCGTCCACTTCCTCCCAAACCCTCAATTTCTCTCCATTTAATTCCTTCGACTCCGACACCAATTTCTCTTCTTTTTCGCTTTGATTAACTTTGTTATGATTACTGTCTTCGTTTCCTTGTTGTGGTTCTGATTCTGTACATAAATTACTGAAGTTTGGTAATGAATTGAAAACTGAACTCGCTTGAATTTCAACATCTGCGTATAAATCACCGAAATCATCATCAATTAAATCATCCATTTGGAACCCCTAGAAATTGAAAGGGTTAAAAAATTTATGGGTTTTTGTGACAAATAGAGAGACCACTTTGTTGAAGGTCTAGAAATAAGCGAAGCAGAGCATGGAATGTGTGGTTTTGAGAGGGCTAAAACCCTAAACCCTACCCGTACTATACCAAAGGGGACACTGTAACTTAATCCTTATATTTTAAAATAATAACAAATTAGTCCCTCTAAGTTTGTATAGATCAATCCACTTGTCAATTAATCTTAAATTATTTAGTACCGCTGAAAATGATGCTACTAACTTATAAACCAAGTGGTGTGATTGAATTTAAAATAATTATAAACTTAAATAATAAAAAAATTATAATAAGTTAATAATGAAATAAAACTTGACCTAAACGATATAAATAAATTTTTAAAAAATTGAAATATATGTATATTAAATCAATGTGATAAATTGAGAGAGTGAGAGAAGGAGTAGAAGGAATCCAATTGAATTGGGAGGAGAAGAAACAAGGCACAAAATTTCTAATGGAATTCAAAATTCTTCAAATAATACCCGAGAATGATTTAATGTGGATGGACTTTAATTTACTTAAAAATAGTTTTATTTTTACTTGAAATTTGGCTTTTGAGCTGGTCATAATAAGTCTAAATATTATAGAGTTTTTTAAATATTTGCTATTAAAAAAATTTATTGTAATGTATTTTGTAAAGATTGTTAGCTGTTTTTATCCTTTACAATGTAAAGAACAAATAAATGGAATAAAAAAATATAAAATTTCTCATATCAAATTTTATGCTATCTCATTCTTTTTTCTTGTTCTCGTGTTTTTTTCTTGTTGTCACTTTTTTTCTTTTTTTGTCAAATTTTCTTCTATTATTATTTATGTATTACAATGAATGGAGTTATATATATTTTGAGAATGACAACAAGGACTAAAGAAATGTAGAAAAAAAAATTAAAGATTTTGTTGTATTTACAAATGATTTAACTATTTCAATCAATATCGGATAACCACCAAAGGGCTGAGCATGCTAATGCAATAAATATGCGGGGATTAAATATAGAGTTCTGGAACTAGAGGGACTAACACATCAGTTTCTAAAAGCCAATTACTATTAAGTTATAATTTTATTGAATGGTAAATATATTTGGAGAAGTGATGCAAGCGGCAGGTACTCTTCAGATGAAAGGTGAACGATGCCGTATGGTGCCTCTCTTGCTGACAAAGACAAGCTTATCGGTCATTACTCCTTCCTCTCTTTATTGAAAAGGAGCTGGATCGTGAGTCACCCGTCCACGAGGAAGAAACTTTGCTCTGTGGAACAAGAACTATTCAGGGTTTTTCTCATTCATACAGTCGGTGGAAACCGATATATAAGAAGGCAGTTAAAAAGGTAATCTTTGTTTTTTCTCCTCTTTTTGCTTATTAAATCTCTGATGTATTTAGGGATTGTTATTGGAATAGCAAGAATGTCTTTAATTATTTGATGTATTTCTGAAGTGTCTGGCTTACTTCTCCAAATATATATATATATATATATATATATATTCAAGCTATGATGAGTTTTTGTGTGTTTTTAAGCTTCACAGATAATTTACACATAAAGAACTTACAAAAGATACCAAATCTCATTGTCTGAGATTCTTGGCGGAGGAATTATTATATGCTACCACAAATAATAAATTTTGTTAGCTAAGAGTTGATAGTAATTTGGATTTTACTTTTCATGATCTTTCTTATGAAGTTAGATTCCAATACGGCCAAATGAAAGAGTCTTTCTCGACTTAACTTGATAAGTAAGTGGTGTTCGTTGCGGTTGTGATGTAATGTAAAGCATATGCTAGTTTAATAATGGATCATCAACTGACTACCTTGCAAATAGATTTGGTTGAGACGGCACCATAATGATTTCTTATGCCTGTGGACAATTTTTTTTAGCTAATTGAAATGAAAGTATGCTGTTAATCTATTACTTTTGCCAACATTAAAGACCATAATGAAATCCCAAAACTTGCCTGAAATCAGTACAGAGATATGGTTCTTTTTGGGTTGCTCCTCCAAATGAGGAGACTAAATTTTGAGAAGATCAATTTTTTGATAGTTATTTAATGTGAACCAGAGAGTGCCATAAGGCATACATTTGTAACACAATGCAAGCATGCAAATTGTGCAGTGCTTAACATTTCACTATCATTCTCAAAATAAGACCAAAGAGCTTGTAACCTAGTGGTAGTGGTCTTTTGCAAGAGGTCACGGGTTCAATTCCTAGCAGACTAGTTCTGCTAGGAGCCTTGGGTGTGTGAGTTATAATACACACACACACATATCATTCTCAGAAAGAAAAAAACAAAGAAAGAAAAGGAAAAACTTTTTTGCTATTGAACAATGAATGGTATAGTTGGGAACATAATGTAGTTTGACGGAAAGCACTTGCCACTCAAGCTAGTTTTATAATTTTTGTGCATTGTGACAGGCTTGGAAGCCAGTTTGGCATATTGGTTTAACACCTCAGGACTGGTGCAATCAAATGTTGGCTGCTAATCTGCGATCTCGGACTCTCCATCTCTCATTGCCATCATCTTTGGTCCTAAATCATTCATGGAAACTTGGGTTGTTGGGTTCCAGTCGCACTCTCTCTTCATCAGCTGTTGAATCTAACAGCGAAAAAGGCTTACTGGACCTAAATGACATCGAGAAGGTTCTCACTGATGTGAGAGCAGATGACGTGAAAGTTATACCAGCTAAGAAACATGCTGAATGGGCTGATTATATGGTCATTGCCACTGGTAGGTCCACCTGGCATGTCAAAAACATCGCTCAAGCCCTTATCTACAAGGCATGTTCAAAATTCTCTCTCTCTCTCTCGACTTCATAGGCTGCTAAATTGAATAATATTAAATGGTATTAATTTCCTTGTTTGATATTTGCAATTTGGTTCATGCAAAAATTTAAGGAAGGAAAAAGAAATGACCTTTTCTGTACTACCTTGAATTCTTGGGCATTGCAGGAGGTTTTGTTTTCATTGTTGTTTTGTATATTTGTTGGTGATGGTTCCTTTGGTGTTAAAGTACAGCTTGTGTTAAGATTTTTGTTGAGTTTTCCAAGCATTAAGATTGCTGTCCTTGTTATGATTCTTTTATTTGCATGAGCAGGCTAAGCAAAAGCAAAAAGGGACTCGGCGAATGACGCTCCCCAGTGTGGAAGGGCAAGAGGGAGGAAAGTGGATTGTTATTGACTCTGGTTTGTCTTTCACTCAATAGTGTTAGATATGTAGGTTGTTACAGAGAGGGGGAAAAAAAGAGTTACATATGTTGGCACTTTAACAGTAGAATCAACATAGATCCCTTTTTTCACAAGAAATTTGTTAAACCAACTAGCTAATAGCTTTAATTATTGGTATTGCAAAGTTGAGTTGGTTAGAGTTTCCTTGCTTCTTAAAGGGGAAAACTGGAAAAGACCTTGTCAGAGAACTTTTTCTTAGTCTTATGTGTTCTTATTGGGTTTCTATCTTACTTGATATGGGCATCTATTTCATGCTGATAGCAACCTTACGAACAATTTGAAATTGATTTAAATTCTGTTAGCATAATTGGGAAACATAGATACTTTGATGAACTTTTATGGTGATAATGTGGCTCATTGATTCCTAGATTCTCACCCTTTTTTTTATATATCTTAGGTAAGGTGATAGTTCATGCTCTTGATGAGAAGGCTCGAGCATACTACAATTTGGAAAGTCTTTGGACCTCAGACAGATCTAAAGAAGAGCCTGAGGTAAAAGATAAATTCCAGGATTACAATTTTTAAACTTTTCTGATCTTAATCTAATCTGCTGCCTCTATTACATGACATTTTAAGCTGGGTTTTCTTCTTTATCTAGAAGATAGAGGAATGCATTAACACAAATTGAGATTGGTAGTTAAATTATTTTTTAGATTTTTTTGGAAAAATCAATATGCATTTAGCAAAAGAGAATTCCAAGTATATTAAAGCAATTAAGTTCCAATCTTTTATCGGTAGATGGTTTAAAATTTTATCCTGGTTCCTAGAGAGATATATTCAAATTTGAGAGTAATTCCACCTTTTATCCATTTTGTCTTGTTCTGCCAGCGGCTTTCTGGTTATTTTACTTGAGGATTTGAAGGGCAGAGATGGAGGCAGAGATTTGTGATCTTTTTAGTAATGAGCACTTTTGCACGAAATATTCTCTATGGTTAAGCTGCGGAGTAATGTATTGGTCTTGTGAGAGTTCTATAAACTTGCACACACGTGTATATATAAATTTCTGCATGCATGTAACGTTTTTATTGCCTGGGTTTTGGATGGGATTCATCTGTCACTTGGTGGTTTGTGGAGTAATCTATTGAATATTATCATCCTGGTTGTACAGCAAATGGTAAGAATTCAATCTCAATCCTCATTTGGTATGGCTTTCTTACCATGACATAGTTTTCGAACTTTTTTCTTAAATTAAATAATGGTTGTAATAATTGGTTTCTTTTGATAAACTCTTTAACATTGGATGGATAAAGGGATACCGTCTGTGAGCATTTCTGCTGTGTCAAATTATTCTATAACATAAATGTGTTGAATGCTTAACCTAAAATTCCCTGGAATTGGAGGGGAAATGAAAACCTGATGTCTTCTTCTTCTTTTTTTCCTCATCTATTCAGAATTTGGATAAAGCTTTTGTCAAGATTCGCCCCAAGAGAAACAATTCAAAAAAACCAGCAAATCGAGATGCCTGAAGCAATAGGTGTTACATGAGCAGCTGCTGCCAATGTGCCAATAAAGTTTTCTCATGCTAAAGGTTTTTCCTCAATCCATATCTATGTGTAAACTGTAGATTGTTATCTTATGAATAATTTTCTTCAGTTTGTCTGGAGCTGCTCATGCATATTAATATAGTCTTTTAAAAAAAAAAAAATTCTATATTGTTTCACCATTTGTTTGGAATCTCTCTTCCATCTCCGAACAAGATTTCCAGAAAAAGAATGGGGAATTAGTTCTTAAATCACAAACTAATGATAATAACATATGAGACAATGTTTGCTTGGCTTTTATTTCTACAGGAACAGATTTATAGCAAGTAAAAACAGCTCTTTATGGTAATATACTTTAGGCATGAAAAGGATCTGGTGAAATAAAGCACATATAACCACGAGGCCATCGAATTTGATGCCTATAGTGAATATAGAATGCCTCGTTTCCCACTACTTGGTACTGTTTTTTTTTTGGTACATAAAATGGGAGAGGGAGGTAGGTTATCCCAAAATGGATTCAAGGCACCCAAGCACTGACACACATCTAGAGGACCCTTTCTGCACCTACTTGGATTTGGTACTCAAACGGGTTTGTATGAACCACCTTTCTTCTTTTGAGTGAAGTAAAACACAGTTGCTGCTATAACTGAACCACCAAAAATCAATGCACCTGCGAGACCAAAGAACATTTATGTAAGCACCCTGCATGTTAGTAACCAAAGTAAAGGATGATAAACATCTATTGTCTACCCAATTAGAGATACTGACCTATGGCAGCATATATATAATTGGGTTCTGGTCCAACTGTAATTAGAGCACCTGCGAATTCACAGTACATAAATTCTCAAATTCATAAGATCGTGTATTAGGGGGGCTAGTAAATATTATAGAAGCTCATGCTATAAAATCATGTGGAAGAAAGTACCCTGTTTGTTGCAATTCATTGAATGCCTTCTGTTATTGCAAATGCAAAAGAAATTGTTGTGTAGACTATTGCTATAACCACAGAGTCCACCACTAGCCTCACAAGATTGACATGCTCCATTTGGTTGCTTCCAATTCAACTTGAACCCACCTTGCAATGCCTGACCAAAACCTTGAACCAAGTCTCCATAAATTGCCTCATCACTCACCAGGGCACTCTCAACTGACTCGCAATATCTGTGCCAATCAAATTCTGGTGTTACTCCCTCCAGGAATACATATGACTGCTTATGACCATACTTTAAACATGCTATATGTGGAAGTGAAGGTGGATACAGTGTGCAATTATAAAAAAAATGTAACAGTTTATTGCCTAGGGTAGAATTGAACAATGACGGGGTGCTATTTACGGTGATGGCATCGTGGGATACTTTGGGACAATCTGCTTCTCTTGTTTTGGTATGGGCAAGGGTGAGGGATTTATTGGAGTGGTTGATGTTTTTAATAGGATAAAGATCATTAGAGAGATAGATCACTGGATTTTGATCACTGCAAGAGATATTGAAGCCTGGATATCCACAATGCTCAAACTGTTGGCTTTGGTGCCAAAAGGGGTAGCTAATTGTGATGCCATTACCACCGCAGTCAAAGGAAGGGCATGTTGTGATTGGTGATTGATCAATAAAGTCGCCATTGATGGGGGTGTAAAGAAAGACAAGGCAGAGAATAGAAGGAAGATGGAGAGAGATAGAGGCCATATTTTAGCATAGAAGTGCCTATTGATGAAATGAGACTGGCAATTTTGTTAACACATTAGAGTTGGAAGCTATTAAAAAAAAAAATGATTTGGGTGGGCCATTGGATTTTGATTAGTTTATTGTAGTTGTTTTCTGGTCGGGATTCTTAGAATATGATAAAGGGAGGTCAACGAAGTAAGTAGAGATGATAGAGACATATTTTGAACAAGTCATTAGTTTACAGTTTGTTACAGATCATTTATATAAATCTCAGAAAACAAATCATGCAGGACAACGTACTTTGTTATATGCTAATTGACTATTAATCTCAAGAGCACCAACATAATGATGAATATTAGAGCCTTCCAACGTCACTATGCTTTACGTTGTCGTGTTGATATTAGGATAGAAGTGTAACAAATTTCAGTCCAGTGGTATAGGCATGAATTGGTGTGTTTATTCACAAAGGCCAGAGGGACACAATGTTAATGGAGATGCCAGCCATTCTCACTCCCTCGATTTTCAAGAGAACGGAAGCAATAAAGACAGAATAGAAGACCCACTAATTCTCGGTCCGTGGGCTCAGTAGAGTTCTGTCTGAAGTTCTTTAAAGAAGGTACGCTGTCCACTTGGACCCATAGGCCTGGCCCATAATTTTGGTGGTTTTTTATCGTGAAAAAATAAGATCCGTTGAGGACTTGACCTCTTAACCAGGACTGTGCACAAATTGGTAAATCATTAGGAGACAAAATGAAGGAACCTCCCAAGCCCAGCTACCATGCAATTGAAGCCCATACACACCCAAAAGTGATAAACGTTCGGCCACCATGGCCCAGTCGAATCCAGAGTCTAAAGGTGAAGCCTTGAATGTATTATATCCACCGAGTCACTCAGCTCCTACCAATTTTTAATGGATGAAATTATATCTTGCTTGTCTAAGAAAATGCTCAATATATGATGGTCTATCAGAATTATTTGAAATTATCCAAATAAATCAAGTTCTTGCTACCCTTGCTAATTCTGTGGCTAATGAGACAAGTCATGTAATTCAATTCATATCTTTTTGATCATTTTCCAATTATAATTCACTAACACGCATTGTTCCATCGAGTTTGTCTCAGTCATGCCTTAATTGAAATCTGTAATTTACTAAAATATTTGGCAAAAAAGTGGGAGAAGTAGCTGACTTTGAGGGGCTGTTTTAGGTCCAGTAAGATATGGAACCATACGCAGTGATCAGTGGACAATAATATTGTCATCTCACTCTGTGTCCCGTACAAAGTGAATCATGGCTATATCTTGTGCACATCATAGTACGTACGGACAGAGTCATTTTATGTCCCAAGCTAGACAGCCTGCAACCTGGAGCTGGTCAGGTGGCCCTCCAAGTGTGAATGATGTCGAGATTCTAAAGCTGCACAAGCAAATGGATGTAGGGATGGCAATTTGCTCTGTTTAGTCGCCGTACCTTCTCGTTTGAGGCAGGGATAATAGTTAAAATTTCACTTTGAATAAGACACAAGACGAAAATGGAATAAATTTTTTTAAGAGGGGATAGGCGGGGCGGAGATGGAGATGGAGATGGCTATCCCCGCCCATGCCTTGTTAATTTACTATTAAAAATGGCAATTTAATGGAGTCTAACCCCCCTTTATTTGGGGCAGGAATACTAGTTAAAATTTCATCTTGAATAAGACGCGGGACGATAACGGAGCAAATTTTTTTAGAACTGGCACCCCCTCCCCCGCGCACACACCCTATTACCATCCCTGAATGGATGATATGGTCGTTTCTTGTATCATTTTTAGATGATTTTTTTTTAGTTTTCTTTGTTTTTATGGTAATGAATTTTTAATGTTTTTCAATTTCGTATTTATGACTAATCTATCAATCAATTATTATAAAGCATGACTGCATCATCTTAAAATTCAGCAAGCCATGCACCTTGATAAAGTTCGATGACTCTGAAGAAATTGTTCAATGGCACAAAACAATTAGATATTATTTGAAACTACAAATTAGCCCCTTAACTAATTGTCTGCCCCTCCATCTTCTGTAAAACTACTCATCACATGTATAACTCGTTGCAATTCATTAGGGAAAGGATCAAGGGTGGTTCTGGCTCAAAATAGACAGATTGCATGCAAAGCCTGACCTAACCTAGCCAGCCGGCCTAACAAGTCAGCTACCTATAAGCCTAGCTATAGCACGACGTGACCTTGATAGGTAACCAATGCATAGGCACCTGACGGGTCTCTGCCGGTGAATTCAGTCTGCCACTTCCTTAACCATAAAAAGAAAAATTTTCTTTCATTTTGGCTTGAAAAGAAACAGGCTACATGCAGATGCTTTTTTAAGTGTGCGAATTGGATAACTATATTCATCTTTCTAGTAATTCAGCTACTAAAGTGCCTGCTATTAATAGATCCCACCAACGTGGCTTCATAAATCGGTTTAATGGCATGGCTGACCCTCAAATTATTAAAATGTATAAAAATAAATTATTTAAATCTCGAACTGTAATTTTTTTTTTTCATTATGTTTAATGGTGAATATGTTAATCATTAACTGAAATGCTCAAAAATAAAGTTATTAAAGCTAAATATTGTTAAATATTTTTTTTAAGAAAATTAATTTTACTTAATGTTTAAAAAACAACTTCTATTTAAGTTTTTTTATTTTTTATTTTAGAATTAAAATTAATTTTGTAAAAAAAAATATTTAGATTTAAGAAAGTTTAGATGATTTTGTTGTTTATGGATCTGATTTTTGTTGTTGAATAATTAATAATGTGTAATGGATTCTTCTAGTTAAAAAAAAAACTGAATTATTATTTTTTTTCAAATTTAATTTTAATTTAAAAATTAAAATATTTAAAATGATAAAAAAAATAATAAAATTTATCTAAAAATTAATAATTTGATATCTAAATAGTCTATTTTATTTTGCTACAATCTCAATTATTTATGAATAAATCATATCATTAAATCATGACATGACATGACAGGCCAATTATAGGTATCAAATCGGTGCTTCCGTTTTGGCCGGAAAGTTGAGGCCAACCAAACACAATGTGATTCTACAGTGTATTTGGTTGTTCGACCAAAAGCATTGTCTTTAGATGGACGATTTTAAATCAAACGTTATTTTAGCCAATCCAATCAACAAATTGGTTGACCAGATGTTGCAATATCCAATTTTACCTCAATATATCAGCATTTTCATCAGAAATACAAGCAAATGTTCGGAGAATCTGCGGTGTATCGATATTGGAAAAAGAGAATACCTTGCCGTTCTTCCAAAGCCAGGGAAGAATGAAAATGCCCTAAATAGAATGTAAGACTTGTTTGTTGATTTTGTATTGATTTTCGATCCGTCAGAAATCACCATCTCTTTGGTGCGTGTATCTAATAACATGCTCTTATCCTTTACCTAAAATCTAATATCCTCCTCGTAAGCACACCTTGGGTTTGCAAGTATCTGAAATTGAAAGTTAAGAGGTAGAGTCCTTAAATATTATATATAAAGAAACTTTCAAGAAAGTAACGTACGTGTGGAATGACTTGAAGTGAAGTGAAAGAATACTGCTTTTTATCTCTACGGAAAAGATTGATAAATGAGTATTATTAATGTTTTAAACTATATACAAAGAATTGGATCTACGTGACCAAACCAATTACATTTTAGCAATTTATTATAAGACACGTTAATAATACGAAACTCGTTATATCAACCATATATATATATATATATATATAGTAAGTTTTTTGTATTTATAAAAAATCATGGATTCAAATTTTTCTTTTCAAAGATTTAATTTTAAAAAAAACTCGTTTTAAAAGAAATTCGAAATAACTTTTTATATTTATAATGATAATCAATTCACACATTTACCTACTGATTTAGACTATAGATATGTATATAAATATATTGAGCGAGTTTGATTTAGTTTTGTGTAATTAAAGAGTAATTTGACTTATGATAAAACCCATCATTAATAAACTTAAAATTTTATATTATTTGAGTTAGGTGACCATGCCATGGATCTTGTAGGTACTCCTCCATTGTATGAAATTTGGTAAAAGACCAATATATCATGGAAGCAGGCATAGGTAAAAATGGAAAGCTGTCGTTCAATTAAACGTGTTTTGGGCAAGTTCTAATCGATTTCAGAAAGGACCTGCCAATGACTCCCTTTGTACACAGTAAGCCGTGAACTTTTGTCCGATCTCTTCCGATGCAGTCCTATCAGGAATTCAGACACAGAAATTGCTCAGAGAAAAGAGAGGGGAGGGGATTGGTTATCTCAGAATTGAAACCAAAATTTTAAGCAAATAAGATCTGTTAAACGTTCAGATAGTGAGGTCCTATAACTATAATCCCGAGGAAAAGACTCACCTTGAACAAGAAATAAGAGTTGAAAATTTTTTGCCATTTGGAAAACAGATCAATGACAAGTACTACAAGTTGATGGCCTGTGAAAAAAAGGAGAAATTTACTTTTGACCAAGAAATTGATTCACCCTATTGGGCACATCAAAAAGATATGAGCTTGCAGTAGAAGTTGTGTAGAAGAATGGGATGTGATGTAACAACACATAGCCACTTTTATATCCTTGTATATTTTGAAATTCTTGAAGAAGATGAAGATGCCAATTACATAGCGAATTTCACTACCCAAGAGAAGTCCTGAGTTTGGCACAGTTCAGTCTTACCTTTCCCTACCTTAAGAAATAAAAGTAAAATGCAGTAACAACTACAATAATGTGGAGAAAATTGAGCTTCAAAACTGGATAAATAAAAACTGGGTTAGAATCTTTTAAACAGGAGACAAGTAATTTTGAGTATTATATGAAATGAAACGTAGCATGCAGACTTTAACGATTGGATATCACTTTTGCCTGGTATTGGAAATTTAATACAATTCCGTATAAATCAAATTTCGTAAGAAAATAATTAAATTAAACACGTAAAATAATTAAAAATAGAAAATAAATCAATCGCAAACATATCAAATTTATATGAAAAAGTTTTTTTATCGTAAAAAAAAAAACACTAAACTAACTAGTTCTAAAATAATCTACTATGATTAAAAATATATATATAATCATTCAAGTTTTCATGAAAATGTAAAATACAAAAATATTAAGTGATATAAATTATCTTTATCATAAAAAAAAAAAAAACTTCAATGTATATAATACACTGAAAATATTTATTTTTTAGTATAGGAATCAATAAAATTAAAGAAAAATCTTTTTTCTCTCTCTCTTCTATTTTTTTTTACTCTCCTTCTCAACTGTAAAAACATAAAATAAAATAAAATAAGTCTCCACCCCTTTCTATAAATGCATGTCGGCTAATGAAACGAACAGAAAATTTTGTTCTTCTCACCAAAACACATGCACACACTTCACCATTTGTTCTTTATTTATTTATTTATTTCTTTTCCTATTTGATTATTTGCAATAAATGGATTATGGTAAAATCACTCGTAGACGGAACATACAGCATATGCCAACATCTTATGCGGTAAACATCTCATGTCTTTCTTTTGCCTTGGCAACAATTTCATATTAGAAAGTGAAATTAATGGCGGTTCTCACTCTTCACAACCTCCACACCCCCCCCCCCCCCTTCTCTCTCTCTCTCTCTCTCTCTCTCTAGCTCTTTAACACCTTAAAATGTACTTTGTTCACAATGGGGTCATGTCATAAGGAGTGCTGACCAATGCTCAAAAGCTCTAATACAAACCCCATTTGAATGATGTTAAGGTTGACAGAAGAAAGTCACCTGAGAATCTGCTAAATTGTGAGAGTAATTTCCATCTTGCAATTGATCTCAATTTGTCATGAGCTCTTGTCATCTTTTCTTCCTTTACTTTATGATGATGCTCATCATTACAACTTCCAGTTTTGGAATAAAAACAGGTGATACTGAACTTCTGTTTCTTCTCCCCAGTGTCTTCCTTTCACAGGCATTTGTATTCTATTGCTAACACACAATTTTTGCAGGTGTTTCAGATAGGTTTTTGGAATCATACGATGGAAATAATAACCGATCGACGACAACAACCACCATAAGCCAACAGCAGTCATACTCAAGCCACAGGAAGCTTCTGGTACATGGTAAAATTCCATCTCTTGACAACTTCGTAAATGTTCTATTGTTTGTCCTAGCTAGAATTCAAGTTTTCCTGGAAGTTTTTACTATATCTTGTTTTTTTATTTTTGTCTCAAATGGTACTTGTCTTGTTTGGACATTCAAATTTTAATTATAGGTACTTGCACAAACAGAGATTTAAGCATCTCACAAAGTAAAGATACCACTTCTGGGATCCCACAGTACATAGTGCAGATTGTCAACACCTGTGTTTTTGGTTGTGCTCCTTCAAATATCCATCTCCATTGTGGCTGGTTTGCCTCTGCAAGAATGGTAAACCCAAGAATCTTCAAAAGGCTCTCTTATGATGATTGCTTGGTCAATGGAGGGAAAGCTTTGAAGACTAGTCAGATTGTCAGATTCACATACTCAAACTCCTTCATGTACGCTCTCCAATTCAAGTCTGCCAAGTTCTGCTGATTAGCCTAGAAATAAGGTCTTATCATGGAAAGATAAGAGAAAGAATTGCACCATGTACAACTTAAAAAAACCCCAAGACTCATGTACCTGTTGTTCAAGAAAAGAAATTCAATCCCTAACATCCATGAAAATAAAACATTAACATAATCTCAGCCTTTTGCTTTCTCAATAAAGCCTAGAGCCTTGAATGCATAGATGACGGAACCATGAGCTCCCCCATTTGAAATTTAAACTAGCCTTTTTGTTCCTTGAACTTTCACTACTATTTGTTTTGGTATTTGAAGCTGTAAATTTTGTTTTATGATCTCCAGAGATGTTAATATTTCATCATTCTGAAACTAAACTTTTTCAAGTTTAAAAGCTAATGTTTTCTGTAGCTGCAAGATGCACGGTAGTCTGAAAAGTTGGTGCTTTCTTGGCAGAAGCGTGTGCTCTTATTGCAGTCTCTATTTCCTTTTGCTTTAATTCAACACCAACTTGTGAAGGCTTGAGAGAGAGAGAGCGAGTTGACAAAGGACGCTGCATGGTGGCATCAAGGCTCATTGCTCGAAAAGAAAAAAATAAAGAAATAAAAAAAGAGCAGCAAGTAACCAAGGGAACCTTTGTTGGAACATCAATGTCGTAGTTAGAAGACTTGTTACAAACAAATGGGGACTTGAAATTGATCTCTGTGGCATACAAATCGAAGCACGATCGTTACAAGCTTGTTTACAAATAGTAAGCAGGTCACGATATGCGTTTGGTTTTCTTATGTGGTAATTTGATATTTTTATGGTAGCTTTGTGAATTCTAACATGGTGTTTGATGTGGACTGGAAAATGTTGATATTGATTTATGCTCCAGTTTTGTCCGGAGCATACAAATAGGGATTTGAAATTGACCTCTGTGGCATACAAATCGAAGCACGATCGTTACAATCTTGTAATCTTGTTTACAAATAGTAAGCAGGTCAAGAAATGCGTTTGGTTTTCTTATGCGGTAATTTGATATTTTTATGGTACCTTTGTGAATTCTAACATGTTGTTTGATGTGGACTGGAAAATGTTGATATTGATTTATGCTCCAGTTTTTCTCTGCTAAACTAATTGCAGATAAATGAAGATTAATTTACAGGCAAATTGCAACATTAGCACTCTAGACTTGATCAGACTAGTGTTTTCAAGAATAGATTGCAAATTGTCCTACTCTATGACAACCATACATTCCTCCCACTCCTACAGAATCACGAAGCTCGACAAGGCTTAAATAGCAGAAGAGAACATTAAAGAAAAAGGAAAAATAAAATTTCCTCATCTTCGTTTGGGATTTACTAGTTGTGAAAAAATTTCGCTAGTGTATGACTCATCAGTTCCCTCACGAACTCCAGTCTCCTCAATTCCAGCCATCTCTATATAAATTGCATAGGTGTCTTTTGTTTTACTGTCTGCAACCAATTTAGCTCCAGCAGGATTGTCTTGCAATTGTAGAGAAAATTGAAGATTCCACAGCAAATCACCCATCGAAGGGCGACTGTATCCATGATTTTTTTTTTATTATTTTTTATTTTTACAAACGAGGATGGTAACCTGAAATTTATTAATTAAAATGTGAAAAAAATACAATGAGGGACAAACCAACCTTACCCAACACTTTGGGGAGACAAGGAAGCCTAACCTAAGAGATGATTACTTCCTAAAATTAAACAAACTCATTCTATCCTGTCTATTAGCCATTTTTACATCCAAAGATAACTCATTAAATAAACTATAATTAAGCACACTCCATCTCATGCTGAAGAGCCTCATCAACCAATCTATCTGCTATCATGTTATGTTCCCTCCAAATATGTATAATAGTATGATTATCCATCAAATCCCAATACTTTTGGATAAATAAGTGTATAACCAAAGAACCATATTGACTCCAAGAATGGTATTAGTAACCATCAAAGAATCTGATTCAATGAGGACTGAATCCAAAGCTAGGTTCTTACAGGGTAGTAAGCCATCCTGAACGGCAAGTGTTTTAGCCTTTGTATAAGAAACCTCACCATAATAACTAGCAAAGCATGGAATAAAAGCACATGTACTATCTCAAATCACTCCTTAACGTGAGCAAAAACCATCCCTAGCCAAACCATCAACATTCAATTTCAATTTACCTTAATTCGGAAGTTCCCATTTCAACCATTTCCCATGTAAGAACTTCGGCTAGGCTGGTACAATACCAAGCTCTTGTAATTTCCTCATCCCTATAACATTCATGGGCTTTTTTTGGAAAATACAAACTACACATATCTAAAAGATCCATTTTAACTCGTTTAATAATCTCATCCCCTCTCATCAGATCATCCTTATACTTAGCCTTATATTTACTTTTCCAAATTTTCTACGTGACAAAACAGAAGGTGCCAACTTGACACATACCTGATTGTGTCGAAATCAAAGTAAACCACCGATGAGCATATGATTCAAAGGAATCGAATAAGTTATGGAAGCCAAATATAGCTCCGAAATGCTCCCACACCTCCATGGGAATCCGAGACTTAAGAAAGAGATGCTCCATTGTCTTTTCCCTATGAGCTTGACAACATTGACAGATTGAGACTAAAGGAATTTAAAGTTCTTTTATGCGTGAATCCACTGGGGGGCATCTCTAAACTATTTCCACATGAAGACACTCACCCTTGAAGGAATATAGGGATTCCATATCGTAGTAGCCCATGGCCAAACAGATGAAGGATTTGGACAATAACTCCATAAGGCCTTAGTCTCAAATTCACCTATTTTTTGTCAAAGTACAAAACAATTTATCATCAATTGTATCATCAAAGCAAAGATGTGTTAACCTTGTTATGGTGTCGGCCAGGTATGAAAGGGAGGAAATCGGACAGCTCTTGAAAAGCCTTCCTAACTATCAATCGCTCATCCAGGGGTAGAGGGTGGTTCAGCAAAGTACCACATTAATTGGAACTCCAAAAAGGAATTGTGCCTTTCCTGATTATCAACCGGCTATATGAATGCAATGTAGACAAATGATGCACAATAGCTTTTCAAATGTGTGAGGATGCATTTAAAGTTCTACTTGCGTCCCCATATTTTGGATGAAGGAAATGAGCCCAAAGACGCCTCCATTACCAGTCCCAAAACTTTGATACCTAAACCACCTTCCTTTAAAGGTTTACAAACCTGATTTCATGATATCCAGTGATGCCGATTTTCTTTTGAAGAACTCCGAAAGAAATTGGGCATCAGACTCTCAATTCTCTGAATAGAACCCTTAGGCACTGGAATTGCCGCCAACACATGGATTGGAATGCTACTAATAATTGCTCGTAGTAAAGTCAGATGAGCCCTGAAAGACAATAATTTTGTCTTCCATCCTCCTAACCTTCAGCTGATTTTCATTTCCAATGGGTGAAAAATAAATTTATCAGATTCGATCAGTAAAACAAAGCACACAAAAATATTGCATAAACTAAAAGTGCATACACCCTATACACTGTTTAACGGAAGCTATTCTTTGTGTTGTCATATGCTTTGGAGAGTAAAAATCACTCTTAGCCAAATTCAGAAGTTGTCTCGAGTACTCTTTATACTGCTTGAGCAAGCCCCTCAACTGCATCAAGGATTGTTTTAATCTATTTGTAAACAGGAGCATATCATCTGCATACAATAAATGAGAAATAGACAAAGAACTTCTACTCATCCCATAAGGCTGATTATGTCCCTCTACTATTTGTCTCTTCAAGTCATGGAAAGAATCTGTTGAACTAAAATGAAAAGAAGAGACGATAATAGATCTCCTTCCCTAACACCCCTACTGGATTTAAAGTACCCAAAATTCTTGCTCTGTACACGAATGGTGTACAAAATATCACTAATACATCTATACATCAAATCACACCGTAAGTTTTTAAATCTCATTTCCCATCACCTTAAGTAAGAAAGGCCACTCAATCCTGTCATAAGCCTTTGACATATCTAGCTTCAAAATCAGATTATCCCCATGAACTTTTTTATTCAAATCTGTAACCAAATCTTAAGCTAATGCCATATTTTCAGTTATACCATGACCTTTTACAAAACCAGCATGTTCCTAATCAATCAAACTTGGCAACACCACATTTAACCTATTAGCCAATATTTTGGATAGTATCTTACATCTAAATGTTGATAGACTAATAGGTCACAAATCATTAAGTCAAGTTGGATTATCAACTTTTCAAATCAGGACTAAAATAGTAGAAGACATAACTCTAAAAAGATGACCTCCTTTGAAAATCTTGAACAGCCGCAATAACATCAAGACCGATCACATCCAAATAACCTTTATAGAAATGTCCCGTAAAACCATCCTAACTTGGAGCACTAGAAGAATTCAGCTCCTCTACTGCATCTAAAACTTCCTTCTCTGAAGGAACTCCTGTCAAGTGAGCATTTATATTATCAGTGATGCATTGTTAATGATTATATTTTGAAGAGGGTGTGAAGGTAAGATTGAGAGTGCCAGAATCATTGGTATTGCAGAGAATTCCCTCATAATATAGGCCAGCGTAAGAGCCTGTGCCGTAATGGAGGCATGAATTGTTAAGGAGGGTGAAGCTATTTGCAGTGACAGAGAGCTAAGAAGTGTTGGGATCAAGAGAGCTATAAGTAGATGGACAAAAATGGAGCCCCACTCAAAGGCGGCTCTTTGTAGGAACAGAAAACTTGTATGTAGATTCAGATGTAAATATCCTCGCAGTCGTGTAAGGAATTGTGGATGGCAATGAAGTTTCTTGGTTGTCATCTATTGCTGTTGTAGAATTACCTGAAGAATTGATGTATTTTGCATCAGGTTGCCAATTCCTGCCATCACTGTCTGTGCCAGCACCGGGAGCACCACAAGCGAGGATGTAAGAATCTGATTCTGATTTAGAGTATTTGGTTACAGAAGAAATTGCGTTTAAGCTGATAGACCAGAAAATCAGAGAAAACAAGAAATGGCTATTGTATTTCATATCTAAGAAGAAAATATATAACAAAAACAGAGGACGGACATAAAAACAGGGGAGCTAGAAAATGTTTGCAAGTGGGAAAGAATGAATGAAGATGTGGCCATTTTGGGGTTCAAAACTAATTAATCCGTTGATATAGACTTCGTTTTGTTTTAATTATGAGTTGACATTTGAAGGTTCACCTAGAATATGCAGGGCAAGAAGCAGAGAGAACAGAGGAATTTTTGCTCTGTATTTTTTTTTTTTTTTTAATCCTCTTGAGAATGGACGCTAAGATAGGAGTGGCAGTCAGAGACTAAAGGAGAAGAAGAACTATAAACTGCCTTATTGTATTGATTGCCCTTAAAACATGGGCGTTTCTTTAGGATTTCTTTAGTTTCCCTCCAGTTTATACATAACAAAACATTGTGCAATAATTTAGTGCTTTCATTGTTGGTGTTTTCTATAAGAGTAAGTGCTAATGTTATGTTCCATTCTCCGAAAATCTCATGCATTTAATGAATGAACCTCGTGAATTCAATGGTTAAGCTTTTTTGAAAAGTGATTTCATGAAGAACTTTTGTAAAATGCTATTCTTAGAATTTGTACCTCGTCCTTGGATGTGCACCTGTTTGGGATTCAATTGTTTATGCAGAGAGAGTTAATTATTCTGAATTACTAGTACATCAAAAGCTCGAAACATTAATCACAGTCCACAGCTCTGCCTGAACCTAGCGAGGTACACCAACCCACATTACTTGCAAAGTCAGGAGAGGGTGAGAGACATACGACAAGTAGAGAACTTTTTTATCAATTGTTGTACCACTTGAATATACTATAAAAAGAAAATCAAAAAGGGTGGTTTAAAATTTCAGAAGGGGGAGCTCGTGATTCACTGATCCATGCATTCAAGGCTCTAGGCTGTATTGAGAAAGCAAAAGGCTAAGATTATGATAATGTTTCATTTTCGTAGATGTTAGGGATTGAAATTCTTTTCTTGAACAACAGGGACATGGGTCTTGGGATTTTTTAATTGTACATGGATCAGATAAAAACTTACAGTCGTTAAAAAAATATATTACTTCAATAAACCGAAAATATGGACTCAGGTGGATTTTCCTAGACAAATAAAGCCTGCCAACCAGATTCTCCGTGCAACGAAAGAAGCCCAAAAGGCCGCACATAAATAATAAAATATTTTTCACTACCCGCGAAATTCTGTTAAAAAAAAAAGTGCATTTAACGGATTATAATCTTTAACGATAATAACTATCAACCGCACGGCACAGGGTCTGTGCCTTTTGTCATGGCTTTGTGCTTCTCCATTAATGCCACCACAGTGCCTCAACGTCATGGTTGCTTCTGCTACTAATTCTATTTATTTTGCTTTGTGATTAAGTTATATGCTATAATCATACTTTTAGATTGTCTTCAGGGAAAGAGAACTATAGGAACAACAATAAATGTCTTGAAAGCGTTAGAAACCTTGTAAAAACAACTAGGATTGCTTCAGTGGTGTCTGCTCCTCAAGAATCACTGCAAAAGGGTAACTGGGTCAAGCTTATTTGTGGTGCTAGCTTTGAGGTATGTTAAAACCCTTTAGCCCAAAACCCTCGTATATTCAACGCCAATTTAAACATTTCTAATTGTCAAATTAATGATTTCTTTTCCTTATTTTACCTTTATTTTAGGATGTTGTTGATATCAGGAATCTCTCTCTTGTTTACACTCTAGCTGGAGGTAAAAGAAATCTTGAAGCAGTTGCTGTCTGTTTAAGGATTGGTTAGCAAACTAATTAAGTCAGTGAATGGTAATGTCTGCAAGGCCGGTTCTTGATTATTTATGTGATGAATGAATCTGCAGTTGATTGCATTGATTGTGCTGCCGATGCATCAGTGGTGAATGCTGTAAATGAAGGAATTGAAGCAGCAAGAGAGATCTTTTACCTTCGAAAGCCTTGGGTAATGATTAGTGTTAATGATGATGAAGATCTTCACTTTCGTAAAGCTGGTACGTGCTCCCTTTTCTAATTTATATTAATTTCATGACTTAGAAATTGCAATTAACCTAAAAGATCCTATGTATATAACTGATTAGTTGCGGGCACTTTTAGGAGTTTCATACAATGTCGTGGGGACATGTAGAAGTCGTATGGGATTGAGGTTTTTGTTTATTTTATTCTTGTTAGCTGATTAGTTGTAAGGAGCATGAGCTTTGTGCTTTCATCTGATTGTGATATGAGTTCGGTGCTATTTTTAACAGAATTTGATCCAGTGGAGTGTCCATTGGACTGTTCAAGGCCCTGTGAGACTATTTGTCCTGCAAATGCAATATCATTAGAGCAACATCGAGCAACAACAGAATTTTCCTCTGGTACCGAAACACTAAATGCATTAAAGGTCTTCGGATGATATATTCTTCCAAATTTTATGAATATTCACTCCATATTACTGCCACAGTTCATATATTTGTTTGTTATTGACATTGATATGCAGGGTGGAGTGCTAACTGAACGCTGTTATGGCTGTGGTCGTTGCTTTCCAGTTTGCCCTTACGATAAAATAAGTTAGTAGTTTTTTGTCAGTTGTTATGCAACTCTTTTCTAATACTTAAACCTTCAGTTTTTTTCAACTCCGTGATGAGTTCTTCAGAACCTTTCTCCTCAAAAAATCACAAACTTCTAGTAGTTCCCCTGTCTCATGGCTTGCAGTATGTTCAGTTTAAACTAACTAGTTCAAATTGAACTAGGAATGGCTATGTACGTAAGGAATGCTGCTGCTACTGCTGAACTTCTTAAAAGAAATGATGTTGATGCCATAGAGATACATACAAGTGGAAGGTGCGATTCCAAGACTGATAAACAAAATGGAAAGCAAATCCAAGTGGCTATCCAGAAGTCCTTTATATCAAAACATCTATTTTCTCACTTCGCTTTTGTAATATGGTTTTCACATAGCATATACAGTGCAATTGTATTTTGTTAGAGGGAAAATGAACTCACCCTTGGACCCTGTGGAGCAGAAAGATTTTTTTTTCCCTTATGTCCATCTAAGCAGTGACATTCACATCAGCTTAACTGTCTGTTTTTCTGCGTTGTAGACAAACTGCTCCGTTTGAGGGACTCTGGGATGACTTGGGAAATTCAATTAGACACTTGAAACTAGTAGCAGTAAGTATACAACTTGCCATTGATGATTGATCGAAATATTTCTGGGCCTATTGTGGATAAATTATCTTTCGTATGGATCACAAGCTACTTGACCAGCTGGATGTCATATTGAGTTCTGGGTGATTGTATATTAACGTCTACTGCGTACAGGTGAGCTTACCTTATGTTGGAGATTCAACTATATCTTTGATGAACGCAATGTACGCAATGATGGAACCTCATCTGACATGCCTCAATCTATGGCAGGTGTGCCCTATGTGTTTCTATCTATTAAATATGTTTCAAGTATTATCATCGTAAAACATGAACAGCCTCTGATAATCCGTATGAATTCTGTGATGAAGTTGGATGGCCGTCCCATGAGTGGAGACATTGGCCGGGGTGCCACAAGGGAATCGATTGCATTCGCTGTTCGATTGGCTTCTGTGAAAGATAAGCCTTGTGGTGTGTACAGATTCACTTTGCTGTGCATTTTTGCAAACATTTATAGCTTACTCTGCACCATTCCACTTCCCCCTCAATCATACAGGTGAAGTTTGTATTTCACCTTTATATAATGCAGGTTTCTTTCAATTGGCTGGTGGCACAAATGCTCACACAGTAGAAGGGTTGAAAAGGGAAGGGCTTTTTCAAACAACACTAGTTGCCAGTAAGTTTACCACCCAGTTCTTTTGTCCTGTAATCTGATCACTCTTAATTGTTTCTTTATTTTAATTCAACCTTTTCTTCGTCAGAGAATTCAAAGGACAAGAAATCAATTCCTGCTTCACATGCTTTAATAGGTGGCATAGCTTATGGCGGCTATGCACGCAAGGTAGGTTTTTATTTTCTCCTACTTTCACTGCCATTTGTTTAAACTATTACATTTGAATTTTGCTTAATAAAATGTTTATATCTCAATAACTTCAGATTGTTGGAAGGGTCTTGAGTTCCTTGCAATCACAGCATGGTCTTGCTCGTATTGAGGATTATCCAGAGCATCTCTTGGAAGCACTTGCAAAAGCCCTTGATTTGGTTGGAACAGTCAAATGTTATGATCCCTGTCCTTTGGATTACTGAAGCTACCTGGGTTTCCAAATTCACATTTCCAGTAACTTGATAAGATTATAAGATTGCAAATGTGGTTTTGCAGCCTAGTTGTCCTACATTGTCTAGGTCAAATGTAAAAGGATAGCCAATTTGATCCAGCTATGTTGTATTCTGGTATATACTAATTGAAACTGCTCAGCGTTCATTCCTTAAAATGTGAAAACAACAGGAATTGTTTGATAACTTATGCTGTTAATGGTTAAGGTTGAGTCCTTTTAGCATTGTTGATAAAATTTTAATTAATTGCGTACCCATTTTGAAAAATTGAGCAAGCTTTTTCCACTTCAGATGGTTACTGAGACCCAAACTTCAGATTGACCTGTAATTAGATAAGAAAATAAGACTTGGACTTGTGTGTTGGTCAATATTCAACTTTGTCTACGAGCTTATTAGAGCTGGAAAAAGGGTGAATTTCAGCATTCCCCTTCAGGTTTGGGAAATCTCCGAACTAAATATCTTCTTATAAAATTTCCTCCTACCATTTTAGAATTGTGTTAATTGCATCCTTCTGTCAAAAATCATTGAAGAAACTAATGGAATGGCATTTTTATTAGTAGGATAAATTCCAAATTCCCTGTTCGAGGTTTAATAGTTTGCAGATTAACCTGAAATTTGGTACCATGAATAAATAAAGATAAGTTGACGTGTGTGAATTAATTGCTCCTATGCAATCTGACCTAGTTTCAGAAAAAAGATGGAAAAAAACATAAATAAATAAATAAACCCTTCCACACTAGTTTATTGAAGCACACAAATGTATTAAAAAAATAAAAAAATAAAATGGATTCATGATGGGCTACTAATTTAATAATGATGCCTGAAACATTCCGGAGTCAACCTGTGAAAGATATTTTTCCACTTAAATCGTAACTGAGATCAATTTTTAGGTTCATGAACTTTTTTTTGCGAGTCAATGTTAATCAACATTGACCATCACAAGCTACTCAACACTTCTGCATTTCTTTTCTTTTTTTAATAATTACTATGCAAGTTGGAATAAGTAAGGCCATCTCAATCAAGTCGTGCTGGATCCATAAGAAAAAGGAAAATGAAAATCAAACTATTCATGCTAAGACATTAACCAAGCATGTCTAATGGCACTCATTCTTGGAAAAATAGAAAGAACAAATCACACTTGATTAAAAAACGTGTCAAATTAAATTTTTTTGATGTACTAAAAAAATATAAAAAGTACGTCTCTAAAATTATTTAAAAAAATTAATTTCAATTGATGTATAAATTAATATAATAATATTTTTATTATCAAATAAAAAAACTTTAATTTGATATTAGTCTTTTGTCAATTAATTAGTAACACTATATATTTAGATTAAATTTATTTGATGCGCATACACAAATTAAAAAATAACAAAAAAAAAGCAGTGAGCAAGATCTTGGGAGAACGAAGAGAGATACGGATGATGAAGCCTCAAGCAAAGGTTTTGTTGTTGTCATTAAACTCTAACGCTTTTATTTCACATGAGCGGGCTCCGATTTTTTTAATAATGTACAGAGTTAATGGAATTGTGCTTGCGCGGAAAGGAAAAAAGAAAAATGAGCAAAGATTTTTCAATCTTGAGAAACAAAAAGACAACAACATGTTAAGAAAAAACAAATCAACTTGATTATTCGTGTAAGAGTATCTAAAGAACTTAAGAATACAAAAAAATTAAAAATTAAAAATAAACTACAAATTTCTCTTTGTATGGTATTTCAAAACTACCAAAATTAATGCCCATTAACCTTTATAATTTCTACTTTACAAATGCTTTATTTTTTTCACCTGTAAAATATGAAATTGGAGAAATTTTAAAATACTTATAGAATAATTCATAATATTTATTTTATAAATTCATTTTGATAAGAGAAATAAAAATAATTTTTAAAAAAATCACATTCAAATCCAACAAAAGTAATAAAATTATTTTCATTTAGACTTAATTTTTATATATATAATTCTCTATCTTCTATTTTCTCTCATAAATTCTATGTGTATCTCTCTTTTTTATAAAATAAGTATTGTTAGTTGTTCGACGAAAAATATAAAATTTGTCGTGACATTGTGTAGTTGCATATATAGCATATTTATTACTGAAAACTTGAAACAACAAAGTTGTAAAAAGAAGAAAAAGTAAAAAACATTACATTGGTAGCCTATCAATTCCTAAAATATGATATGTGTTCTCCAAGCAATTCAAAGGCTTTTTGAACATGACAATGTTGTTCAATTTACTAAATGCAAATAAAAAAAATTTATGAAAAATTTTATGTTACATCTCCTTGCATCTCTTATGCAAAGGCATTCTTTCATGTACAATGTTTTCTTTTGCTAATTGTAAAATATACACATATGTACGTTTATATATATATATATATATATCTCGTAAATAAACATAAAGGGTTAGGTTTATATATTGTCTCAATTGCTTTTATATAAAAAAAAATCAGAATTAAGTTCCCTTTTGTTAATTAAAAATATATATAACGGTGTCCTTAGTTTATCGGTCCTAAGTATAAACGGTATCGAAAAAGTGCAAATTTGAAAATTTTCTATTTTTAATACTAGATAGGAAGCATAAAAAGAGAAGGAGAGGAAATCCTTTTCGTAAGATTTGAAAAGATGGGAAAACACAAATAGAGATAAAATTAATATTAGAACGTTATGTAAGAGATAAAGGAAGAAAAAAGGTTATAGCATATTGAACTGTAAAAACACACAAGCACGTATACATGAGTGATCAAACTAAGCCAAAACAAAGAAGAATAATTAAGAAATAATATAATATTAAAACAAAATTGACGTATAACCTGCACACATGTACTTAATGTATGAGATATTTTATCTTACTTTCCAAGTACTTAATAATACTTATTGAGAAAATTGAAACAAAAAGAAAAGAAAAATATGAGGAATAGAATGAAAAAAAAAAAAGGGTTCAGATATACATATTTTTAACATTTTTAGAAAGTTTATATGTATTTTATTTTTTTGTCCGTGTCCGTTCTCATAGTAGATTTATAAATAGAATAAATATTATTAGTTACTCGTTAAGTATTTTAAAACTTCTCTATAAGATATCATGTATGTTATAAATATTATCATTACCATAGTACCATATTCCCACCACATCACCAATAGCATCACATTCCCATCATTAAACTCAACACTTATCATTTTTTTTTAACTACTATCAAGTATTTTTTTTAATATTATAATTATTATCACTAACTCTGTCAACACTATCATTATAATCTTCTTAATCTTCGTAAATATATAATGATTATCTTTACTTATCATATTATTACAATTATTACTATTCTATCATTATTATCTATTAAGACTACTATTATACTATTATATCATTATTATTCACTATGATCATTATTATTTACTAATAAAATTAAAATTATAAAAAATAAAATGACTTTAAACCTTTATTATCATTTTCAGTATCACAACCATCAACACTGCGTCGTCATCATTGCCACCATTGTTATGCATGTTGCTGTCAAAAAGTAAGAAGCGAATATTTAATTATAAGGATTGAATTACATAATATTGTTTTTTTATATATTTTTTATTAATAATACATTATTATAGTTTTTAAATTAAGCATTATAAAAAAATTACCTTCCTACATCTTTGTTTTAAAAAAAAAAAAAAACATCTTCATAAAACAATAAATAATAAATATAAAAGTTTTTTTATTTTTTTTTAAAAAAAAACAAGAAATGGTACTCAAATGGGCTTTAAGTCACGGTGGAAGTTTTTCGATGGCTGATGGGTAATAGTTGACCGTGTTGAAGAACTTTAGCTCCACAATACCCACTCCGTCGAACCGTTCCTCCGTGTGCCGTGGTGTTTTACATTAAAGCCTTACAAGACAACCCCTCAAAATTGACTAGACTTTTTCGTTTTTTTTTTTTTTTCCCTGCCCCCGCGAATTGACTTCGTCATGCGCAACATGCTTTTTTTAATTTAATATCAGTAGCGTTTAAAGCCTGCCAAGGATACTTAAACATTGTAGGGAAAAAAATAAAAAGACAATAGAATCCAGTATAAAATATTTGTTGATCTCTGGCCATATTTTAAAATTCAGGATCAGCAATCAATATAAATATATTAAAAAATGCATTTGGCAGCTAAATGTTAGCATTTTTAAACTCTTGATTTATCAACATGTTACGGGAGCAGCATTATTTAGAATAAAAATATTTCTATTTAATCTTTTTTTATGTTCTTTCTCTCTCTCTCTCTTTTTTATTTTTTGTTGCTACAGAGTAAGAAAATATTCTCCTATCTTATAAAAAAAACACCTTTTACTGTTTTCAAAAACCATTTAAAAAAAAACTTTTATAATTATTCACCTAACATAAATGCAACGGTGCAACTAAACATATGACTTTAGAATTGACAATTATCTAATTTCATTTCCATAAGCCATGGATTTTGATGATTCAAATAAGTGGAATGGTACCACAATAAAGTTAAATATATATGTATCAAAATTAAATTTTAAATCTCGTTAAATTTTCTAAAAGATGTAAAAAGAGTGAGTATAAATAGATCTTTTCAAATGACAATATTGAAATATATAAAATTAGAGTTGTCGCCAAAAGTTTACTAAAGAATATGGCATTGATTATAAATAGACTTCCTAATCAATCTTTAAAAAATATTCTTTTAGAATTATCACGATTTTGGTGGCTTATTATGACTTAGAGTGATATTAAATGGATGTTAAAACTACTTTTTTTTTCTTTTTTTTAATTTGGATGAAAAGGTTTATATAGACCAACCCAATGGTTTTTCAATCAAGAGAAAGGAACACATGGTGTGTAAAAAAAAAAAAAAAACCAATATATAGACTTAAAGAAATCTTTTGACAATGGTATCTTAAGTTTCGTGATATTATCACTTCTTTTGAATTCTAAGAAAACATTATTGATCGATGTATATATATAAATAT